AACCAGGCTTTTGAAGTGGAACCTGAATTACTTGTCTTGTGGCTACTCTTCTGATACATACAGCTTTAATTTTCTTCAGTTAAACCTAGCCTTATGCGTGCGTTAATGATAGCATAGCTATTTGTTTAAATGATGACAGGTGAAGGTACTGATTTAAACACCAGCATGAATCTGACTTTTAAATCTCCTGGCATAAACTCAGACTGCAGAAGAAACATGGCATCAGCTGGAGGGAGGAACCCCAAGGTTTATTGAGAGGTCTGAAGTGTTAGATCCCAAATGCTTGCATGTAAGGGAGTGTAATCAGGTTAAAAAAAACTGCAAATGCATGTAAAATAGACGTGAAAATCTGTAGACATGAACCATGGTGGCACACAGGGTGGAGATGGTAGTAGCAGGGTCCTTCCTCTTTGCTCTTTCCAAAAGAGACTGAGACATCAGCAAAGACAGTAAGCTGGAGAGCCAGAGGAAGGAGAGGTGTCTTTGCTCGTGTAAATCTGCATCTCCTCCTGGGTTTCCACAGGTTGCTGCTGGTGAGCATCAGTCCTGGCCCAAGTGGAAGCTGGATTGAAGGTCCTGGACCGGTGGCTCGTTTTTTGCAGCGAGGGTGATGCGAGCTAATATTTTGTGCTCAGTTTTACCCACTAGTTAATGGAAAAGCACACCGTGGGGGTAAGGGTTAGATGGGGGAGCCATTAGCTGTTATTTATGCCAGAGTGAAAAATACCAAGGCAAAAATAATTGGACTGGAGAGAGCATTAGATAGACCATGAGATGTAGAAACTGGATTATTTGTTTTATCTGGGTGCAGTGGTCATTCACCTGATAACATTAGTTTCTCTTAAAATACAATTAACATTTTATTCCCATAAGCATCATTGTTTATTAGACGTTAGTGGGACACACCACAGTATTTTCTAAACACTGTGTTTGGTGCCTGGATGGCTCATTCAGTGCTAATGTTGCTCATTACCAAAGGTTGCAGAGGAAGAATGTCCTAAAAGGTCTATTCCTCATGAAATCATCTCCTGCAGTTATTCAAATATGACTAATGATGCATCTTCTGCGGAGACTTGAATTTATTTATTTGGTATGGCCACTTATTCTCCTTAGAAAATGGTAGAAACAAAACTCAAGAAAAGAAAGAAGAAGTAGAATCAGTCTGTCATTTTATTTGCTTCCTGATGAATTTTGGTCTGAGGGAAGCAAAATGTACGTTTGCAATTTCACACCTAGTTACATCTTCTGTTTGCTTTCATCACATGCATGGCTGTTTTCACGGATGGCAAACATAAACATAAATGATGTAATATCCCTCTTTGATTTTGAGTGCTTTGCTTAGAAATTAATGTAAAGCGTGCAGGTTATTTGTAAAGCAACGTGTAGACAATTCGCTATGTACATCCACTCTTTGTAGTGTCAAGGCAGGGATTTGAACAAGACTTCTGTCTGCTTGCATAAAACCATAGGAGATTACAGCTTTATATATCTTGACTCTTACGTCAATTTATTTTTTTATGTGTTGTACTCCAAATGGAACTTCTCAGTGGCTTGGCTTCTTTCTATTAAAAGGATGCTGCCCTTGCAGAAGCAGTGACCTTTAAAAAGCAAGTTTCAAGTAATCCCTTTATTTTCCTGAGATCATATAGCACAGTATCCACTTGCAGGCTTTTAAGATGGAATGATTGCAGGCTTTGTCTGCTCGCCCGGATTGGATTACATTTTGTTTGACAAAGAAAACTCTAAAATACTTATACCTTCCTCCTTGGGTTGGGAGCATTGTACTCTCCCTGTGTTGGGGATGCAGAGTAGTTGCCGTATCATCCCAGCACCACTGGGATTTATTGAATTTACTTAATTGGCCTTTATCTCACGGTTACACTTTAACGCTTCTTTTGAAGGAGATTCAAAAAGGATACAGTTACTCCTTTTCTAATTTACTTTGAGAATTCGGTCGCTCATTTCCTTATCTTCCTTTCTTTTCCCGGTAGAGCAGAATACTCTGCATAGCTGCAGTTGAACATTTGAGGCTTATGTACCCAGAAATTTAACTCCATGAATCTGCTAGCTAGCAAAGCGAAGCAGCACACGCTGGTTTTTAAAGAGGAAGCTCTGTTTTAGGGGTGTGTGGAGTCTGAAGGACGCTTTCAGGCAAGCAGTGGTGCATTTCGTGATGTGCTGTGCCCATGAAAAAGAGAGCTGAACTGCCCCGAGCAGCCCAGGGAAGGGTTTTGCAGCAGCTGAAGCATTCAGGAGCACTTGCATCATTGCTGTGTTTTTAATGCACTTGTGAGCCTCAGCCCTACAAACACTTCAGGAGATCTCAGTAAAGCAGACAAAAAGATTGGTTATTTGCTCAGGCATTCCTGATGCTGAGGATTGCAGTTTGCACCTTCCTGAGAGGCGTTTGATACCAGGGAGGGCTGGGTTCTCCCCAGCTTGATGTCTTCCTTCACTCTACTTGTCAGGTTTGCGTCTCATAATGGCACTTTGAAGAGGTTTAAAGCTCAGTTTTGACTTTCCCATTGCACCAGACCTCTGCTGCCAGCTAGGCAAGCCTGTGGTGGGTGTTGCAGGTCTGCGGGGTGTTGGAGAACAGTCCCGGAGGGATGAGGGCCCATTTTCCTGGGTTCTTTTGTGGCTTCGTCCCCCTTTGGCATCCAGGTGGCTCACGATGAAAGTGCTCAGCATCTTTTATTGAAATAGAGATGTAGAATTCAGAATTGAGAACTGCCTGTTATTTGGCATCCCCACCCCAAAGTGCAACTTTTTTTTTTTGATGTGTGTGAAAACCACGTAGCTTCCCTTGCACTAAGTGGGGAATTCATCCTCTTTTAACAAATTCACTGCTCGCTGCGTCCTCTCTGGGCTAACACGTGACAGTACACACATGCACAGCTCAGCTTGCCATGCGTGTTCCTGCACAACACTCATTTGGGCTCGTGGTCTAATTAATGGAACGTCCTGTTCCAGATTAGGGGATTGAGTTTTGTGTGGTTTTCTTGTTAGCCTTCACACAGTCCAAGAAATCGTGGAGGACATGAGTTTCGAAGGGAAGGTGACTTCTGCGGATGAAAAATTGGTGGTGATCACCGTGTGGTGCTTACATAAATAACACGATCATCATTCAAATCAAGGTGGTTTCTACCTGCTCAGCGGAGCAGTTGTGAGCACAGTGGTGTACGAACAGCCCAAAAGCTGCCATGTCCGTGCAGCTGATGCCAGCTCTCCAGCAGCAAACAATATGGCAACGACCAACACCTTTCAGGATCCTCCCAGAGCCAAGTGGGTGAGAGATTAGTAAACAGGAGCGAGAAAAGCTGGGAATGGAAAGAGGCTGAAATGCAGAAAGTTGGTTAAAACAAGAAAGCTCATTACTAGCCTTCAGGGTTTCCAGGGATAATCATCTGGAGCTGTTCCCTTACTCTTTTTGGCTGAAGATCAGACTTGGCAAATTTAATTTGTTTGTTGTCTTTATTTTACTTAATTGCTTTGGGGCTTTTTTTGAGCATTATGATAATTAGCCAGTCCTGCCTATAGGAGAAGTAAATTTTTTTTTTGTAATTTCAAGTACATTTGGGGAAATAAAATGGGTTCATTTGCTGCTGATCTTTACACTCACTTCCCTGTATTCCCACAAAGGCCTTTGCCATCCGGTCTCCCCAGCCCTTCTCTAATCCTTGCTGAGACCTGGCCTGTCCAGAGGGTGATTCAAAGGCTCTCAGCCAGGCACAGGCTGCTTTTCCTCTGGGGAAGCTGTTCTTTCTTCCTCTGTAGCTACATGGAGAGCCTGAGCCCAGTAAACTAGGCACGATGAGTTTTTTCCTATCCCATTTACTTTTCACGTGGTGTCGCTTTCCTCATCTCTGGCATGAAATGACTGGGGTGTCGTGGTTGCATTTCCCGTAGCAACTTTAACCAGGGAGCTGGCAGGGATGGTAAAAAAGAAAACACAAAACAAAACAAAAACTTGAAAAGTCTCTGCAGTATCAGACTGAAAACAAAGAAGCAAGCCTGTTTCTTATGCACGTGTGTGCTGCAAAGGGCAGATAACCTTTGAGGGCTGCATCTTAAAATAATAAGCAGAGCTGTATAGCTGCTTCCATTCCACGGCCTCCCCGAGCACCCTGCAAACTTCTGTAACACCCCGGTGATGTTTATGGAGAGCAATTGAATTATAAAGACCGTAATGGCCTGCTATCCTGTGCAGTGCTCCCAGAAAGAGGGGCTGAAGGATGCCTGGACTTCAAGTAGCGTACAAACAGAAGCACCAAATAGTTGAGGAGCCCACGTAACCACGGGGCTTGTGTACCCACTAAAACACACACCTTCAGAGCAGCCAAAGGAAAGCAATAGGGAATCGATCCGTAATTCTGCTGTGCTAATACTGCTCCGTGACACATGCGAGAAGTCGCTTGGAAAGACAAGGCGTGGGGTTGATGTATTTGAAAACTGCTTGAAAAGACAAGGTCGAGGTGTATGCGGGTAGCATTCGTTCATGCTAGCGCTTTGCACGGGTGGGCGATGCTGCTCAGATCCTCAGCTGCTGAAAATCTGTGCGAGTCCGCTGCTTTTTCTGGAGTCATGCCACTTTGTACCTCTGCCTTGCTTCGTTCAGAGCAAGTTCCTCCTCTTCAATCTTATTTCTCCTTGCCCTCTGATCAGATGCTGTTTCAAGGTTTAGGTAAATCACCCAACAGTGAAATCCAAAGGTTTCCAGAAACGCCAGCAGTGGCACGAGGCAGTTCCCCGGCATTCATTACAAACCCTTTAAGGGACTCAGCCCTTAACCTGGGGGAAACCATTACTGCTCTAATTCAGACAGCAGGTAGCATGATTCCTGATTTTTAAAAATGGGCAAAGACCACCCAGGTGAAAACAGCCCCCACCGATCTGCAGTAGCTAAGGATCACGTTGTGTTGGGGAGTTTGAATGCAGGAGGGGCAGGGCATCTTACTAACCATGGTTTTGTCTGTTCTGTTTTTCTCCTTGTCTTGCAGCACCTTCTCCAGTCAGTAGTGTGAAAAAAGGGAAGATAACTAAAAATAGCATCTCCCTTTCCTGGCAGGAGCCAGATCGACCCAACGGCATCATCCTGGAATACGAAATCAAATATTTTGAAAAGGTGTGACGGACTGATTGCTGAGCATCCCAAGTACCTTCTCTTTACTGTCCTCTTCTTTTAGTTATAATTATCTGAGTTGTGGAAGGGAATGGAGCAGTTTTATGCGTAAATCAATGTCACATTGATTTTGCAGTAAATGATTAGGAAGAGTTGAAATGAGGGTGTTGTTTTCCATTAGTGTGCCACTTCTCTTGAACAAATATGTTAAATCTGTGTGTCAGATTCCTCTCCAGCCTTATCACGTTGAGGTAGAGCATGCTCATTTGTTAAAAATAGGAGGGCTTGGGGATTAAGCTTCCACATCCTCCCGGAAGCATCAGGCTGTCCCTTGCACTTGGTATCTCAGTTCCTAATTTGGTTTTGCGTCCCTGATATGAGGAGAGGAGAAAGATTCACAGACAGATTGTGTCTGTTCTGATGTGAAGAAGGGCATCCTGGCTTTTAAAAGCTTGCCTCACTTTTCCAACTTGAGCTCTCCATGTAATGAGAAGCACTCTCTTGCTGCGAAGCTTGTCTCTCTGTCTCTGTTTCAAAGGATGACCTGTTCTCTTCCTGAAAAAATAATGCAGTTTTAAAGAAAATGGAAACAAGTGCGTTTTGTCTAAGTAACATCTTGTGAAGGATGTAACTGATCTAAGATTTCCAGAAATGAGGTCTGCAAGATTCGACTGAATAACAATTTTTGGCCTTAACCGGAACTGTAACGTGTTCTTTATTTTCTTTTGAAACAAACACACTTTCTACCTAAAAAAAAAAAAAAAAAAAAAAAAAAAGAGAGAGAGAGAGAGAGAAGAAAATAATGAAATTGAGTCACAATTATTTTTTCTTTCCTGAATTTCTATTTTAGAGAAGATCTTCAACTAGGTATGCCTGTTACCTAGGTGAAGTCACTCAGCATACAACTGCTCTGGAGCCTTGCTCCTCCTCCTCTTCTTTCTTCCTCCCTGGGAGTGACCCAGCCCAGCAGACAGGGAAAAAAGAGATTAGAAACTTTCTGCATCGAGATAAAATCAACTTTTTTCTTCCTGTAGTCGAGGGAACTTGGGAAGGGACATAAGTGGCTTAAATAGAGCTGAGCTCCCAGCTTTCTGCCCAGAAACCTACAGCGGAGAACCAGCTAGAGTTGCCAGCAGCCCAGATTTTGGGCACGGCAGTGCTGACTAGCCCAGCCTTTCCTGGGGACCTGCTGTGAGTCCCGTGGGGAGATTCAGGGAGAGATGATCTTCATTTTCCAGCTGGTGAGGAAGAGTGGAACCAGGTCCCAGATCCAGGATTAGAGGAAGAGTGCAGGATCTGTGTGCAGTCTGATGTGGTTGTTGGGATACACGGGAATGGCACAAAGCTACACTAGGGGAGCTTCAGACTAAAAATTAGGAAAAATTTGCTCACCGTGAGGATAGTCAGGCAGTGGAACAGGCTTCCTAGTGAGATGGATGATGCCTGTCAGGGTTCAAGAGACATTTGGATAATAGCCCTCAATGACATGCTGTAATTTTTGGTTAGCCCTGAAGTGGTCGGGCAGTTGGATTCGATGATCTTTGTAGGTCCCTTCCAACTGAACTATTCTGTTCTATATGTTGTTTTGGGGAAAAAAATGGTTAATACCATTTCTTGAAATGAAAACATTGCTATTGCAAAATGGTGGGATCCTAACAAAGCACAAGGAGTCTGTATACGCTTTTGCTGGTGATAATCAATTATGGATCCTTTTATTAACTCGTTTGAATGGCTGTTGTGGTACACTGAATCTTTCCCTTGGAGTGGCCTGGGAAGATACTAACCTCTAGAAATGTTACTAATGACATAATAATTAAAGCAAAAAAATCCATCTGTTTGTTTTGCTTAGTTTGTTTTCAAACAAATGACAAGGTTTTAAAATGTTGTATTTGTGGTCCACAATTATTTTCAAGTAGCTTCACTAAATAGTTCTTAAAGTGCAGGTCCTTCATGGGGAGGTTGCTACAGTCAGTCTGAGTTTATGCTGTCTTGATTTCTTTGTTTCAGGCTGATAGCAAAGCTTGGTGGTTTCTGTAGGAAAGCTCAAATGTTAAAGTGTTTGCAAAATCAGCAGTGTATTGAAAACCTAATTGGGCTGACATACAAGGAAAGATGTGAACTAATATTCACTTCCTGCTTTTTAACTATTCATTCTGCTATATTTGGGATGTCATCCTTAATCCTTCTTGTTTGTTGTTACTGTCATTTATATTCTCTTGGGTTTGGGCCCTTTATAACAGTAAATTCACAGTGTTCATTTCCAGAGGATGAGAATAATCGATATTAAATGTTTTGGAAAATTGAGGTTTGTCAGATCACATTCCTTTAAGAGAAATCACTCCTTAACAGGGAAAAAAAAAAAAAAAAAAAAAAAAAAGGCAGGTAGAAATAAATGCATCCGATATAGTCTCACATAGCTACAAGCTTCAATGAGAAAATCTGTAATCCTACATTTGGAGATTCCCAGAGCCATAGCCAGGCATACTGCCTATGGAAAGCTGCCCGGTAAATAAGAAAGCAAAAAGAAAAATCAGTTCAGATCCTAATAGCTGTGCAGAAATCTCAGCAAGAAATTGCTAAGAACTCCTGCTTACCTCATAATAATTTAGATCTGAGAGGATATGGTGAATAAAAAACAGTTTCCCAGTTTGTAGCCCTTAATTTATGAGCTCTTGTCAAGATTATGTGTTACAGTAAATAATTCTAAGAGTAATTACCAAGCATTTGAGTGAAATTTTAATCAAAGAACTGAAACTCTTTCACATTAGAACTGATTTAAATGAAGATTTATTTTAGCAAATTTTCTTCGAGTTCATTGCTTCAGAAGAACACTGCAAAATTAGTTATCTTCATAGAGTTTTAGTTGACTGTTCCTGGCCAACATCTAATTCATGATTCTAGAAATGCCAGCATAAAGTTGTATAATTAATAATATAGCGTAATATAATATATGGACTAATTGCATTGCATGGAAGTATTTTTGGTATAAATCAAAATCCCTCTTTGAGTCTGTGGAACCAATTTCAATTTTGCTGTGCCTTGGGATTGATTTTTGATTGTTGTTTGAATGCTTCCATCGTCCCAGCTATGTCTGTGCCAGCTGTGCTGCCTTTTAAGACAGCAGTGCACATCCAGAGCACTGGAACGCGGTTCCTGCTCCAGGTGCCATTTTCATCCCCGTGTGTTGTCATTTACAGTGGAAAATACCTCCGATCCCTTCCATGCCTTACAGAATCATTGGTTATAAAAGCTGCAGGACAAGTGAAAATCAGTTCTATCGTTTCATGCTATAGAAAGGAGCTTCAGAGTGTTTTTTTGGGGGAAAGAGATCCTCAGAAGTGCACATTTCAGTCATTCTTGGTAACTTTGGTGTGGGCATTAAGAGTTTCTTCCATGAGAGCCATTATTTGTGTGTTTGTGTGTTTGAACCTTTTTTTTTCTGTGTTTTCTGGGGGGGTTGGGAAAAGGACCAGGAGACGAGCTACACCATCATCAAGTCCAAAGAGACGATGATCACAGCAGATGGCTTGAAACCAGGCTCAGCGTACGTCTTCCAGATCCGAGCCCGGACAGCTGCTGGCTACGGTGGCTTCAGCCGAAGATTTGAGTTTGAAACCAGCCCCGTGTGTAAGTCCTTTTAATTACTGTCAGTCCACATCTCTGCAATGGTTGCCAGCAAGGAGGCAGTGGATCGATACCTTTGCAGAGAGCTCTGTCACTCTCGTGCTCTCTCCCTCTTTCTGGCCTCGTCCCTTGACTTAAGGAACATCAGGCACGTCATGTCTGTATGCTGGGCAGGCTAACACATCTCTGCTTGCTTCCTCGTCTCACGTGGTGGGGCAGGAGGTGAAGCACCAGGAGCTGAGGCTCCAGAAATTCATGGCATTCACTGCTTAGAAAAATCCTGTGTTCATGAGAACTGTTAGAGTTGAACGGTTGCTGCTGTCACGCCACTGAGTGAAGGAGAAGAGTCAGAGGGCAGGAGGAGGGAGAGGATGAGACCTCCTTTGCACTTCTAAAGGCTGTCTGCAGTCAATGCTGAGCTCTCTTAAGTATCTGTCGGGGGAAAAGCCTCTTTCTCCTGGAATGGTGCCCCTTTGTGAGGGGAAGAGCTTAACCAACATTTGCATCTTTTGCTTACTGTCAAGTTGAAAGACGGCTTCTGTTGGTTGCCAATGCCACAGCCTTGAGGAAAGGAATTTGACTGGCGATCAGAAATGGCAAAAATGTGCACTGCAGGCATAGGACTTCGCTTGGCCTGTTACAAATTTGTGGAGCTTGGGGTTTTTTTTGTTCTTTTAATGAATGCGATCATCCAGGTCTGCATTCTGGAGCAGATTTTGAGGCTGGGTGAACTCCAGAAAAATGTGGAGGCCCAGCTGAGCTTTCTCGTGGGTTCAGGCACAGCTGTGGGGAAATTCCTTTTGTCCTGATTACCAGATTTTTTTTGCTGAGGTCTAAAGATGTCCTTCAAAAATAATGTACTTGAGATATCTATTTCAGTTTGTACAACTGTAATTTATTAATCGTTTATACTGTTTGGGTAGAAGAGAAACTTTATGGTGGAATTGCTCCACTTAGTCCTGTGGAAAAGAGCCAATTGGTTCCACATTTTCCTTAGAAATATAAATTCATCAATACTTTGTTTACTGTTACTCCAGTCCATTTAAAATCCATCATCAGCTCTTTGAGAAAAGGATTGCTAGTTGTGATTTCAATGAATGCTACCTTTGAATCCGTAAGAGGTTTTTAAAGGAATCGCTGTATAAGTACAGATGCAACTATGGAGCCAGTGATTAAACTAATATAGTGCAAATTGCATCATGATGCAAGCATTAATGCAATAAGAATGGTCTATTTAATCTATTTCTTATTGTGTTAAACATTAATCGTGTCCTATAAGTAGCAACAAAATCATGTTATACTGAAAATTACTCTTTATTATACTAGGGAAGTTATGTTTGCCATTGGAAAGTTTCTAGTTCAGAGTAATTTGAGTAACAGTGTTCCAGAATATTAACAAAATGCATTAAATACATGCACGTTTGATCCAGTGCCATCATCACCTACAGCTCTAGTCCAAAAATAATGCCACTTCTTCAAAGCCTCTTGTGTGAGTATCTGTGCTAATCGTTGTTTTTTTTTTGTTTGTTTGTTTGTTTTTGTTTGTTTTTTTTGAGAGCATCACTTGGCAATACCCTAAAACACTTCACAGCACTGATGTTGTTTAGTTGTACCTGCCTACCAGTCTTCTCAGCCCTTTTGAGACAGAGAAGTAGGTACTTCTCTGATGGTAAAGAACTGATGTGTAGGCAGAGCAGTACTACGTGCTTCTCAGTTCAGGAGTTGGGAACTGTTCCTCTTTTGGACTAAGTCTTTTGGAATAACACTGTGGCTAAAGGAGGATTTAACCAGATGTTTAAATGCTTGGCAGAATTGAAATGCAGCATAAGCCTCAGTATCTTCCACAAGTGCTGTTCTATTTGGCATTTTAGACCTTTAAAAAAAGTGGGATTTTTGGCCCCCAAGGCCCTACCCAAAGTAAATCTTAGTGCCAGGAGAGTGAAGGAGTGACCAGCCTTCCAGCTGCGTTCCTGTGTTCCCGCATCCCAGAGAACCAGGCAGACTGAAAGCAAGCACAGATTGAAATCCCCGTGCTGTGTCAGAGTTCAGATCCGAAACTCTCAGAGAGCCAAAGCAAATAATTGGGATTCAGGCACAAACAGAAACCTTTCAGTGGCTGGTGTGAGAATCAAGCACTCACCCTCCAAAATTGTTTGGACCAAGCATCATGTTTTGTTTTCAGTTCCTGTAAATTTCTTTTTAATACACTCGGAGGAAATACCACAACAATTACTGACGGCTGCATGATCTAAGCATTGTACCTGAGAAGTGGAGGGGCGAAAAAAGCTGGGACTTGTTTTGGACTTTTCTCTTTTTTGAAACTTCGGGTTTGTTTTATGAACTGTGCCGTTCAGCGGAGCACTGTGATGCAGCCAGATCAGCATTTTTCAATAGATGCTTTTAGTTGCGTGGGAGCTGTTGTTGGATGTTATCCGCTTGCTGCTAAAAACTTTTTCTCCTGAATTGATGAGATAATCCAGCTGATCACCCGGCACGGAGCAGAAACATGTCACCAAGGCGAGGGACAGTAATGCAAGTTCCCCCCTTCGCATGGCAGCAAGATCCCAGATGGGTTTACAAATTCGTGCTCTTGTGCTGCCGTAGATCACGGCAGGATCCCATCGTATTTCCCCATCCCCTGAGCTGTGCAGAAAACCACCAGAGTAATAGCTTAATGTTCTCCTTTAAATGTTTTTCTTTTTAATTACTTTGTCAAGAAAGTAATAAAACATCATCTTAAGGAGCCTCTATAAATTCGTGAGGCTAATAAAATCTCTGGATGATGGCACGGCTTTGGAGCAGTTAACATTAAATATTTAATGTATCGGGCCAGTCATTCTGAAATCATTTACTGTTCTTGAGCCCATGCTGCTTGCAGTCGAGCACCAGAGAGCTCCTGTATGAAGAGCTACTTGAAACCTATTGTAGATGAACATTTAATGTCTCACCTTTCCTTCTTTCTTTTCTTTTAACAATTCATACGGGGCTATATTCAGTTTTTTTATAGCCTCCATAAAGTTAATCCGGTGCTAAGGACCAACTTTACTTCGATAGTTGAGCTAAAGGCCATCTTCAGCACAATCCATTCCTGCCTCGCTGCTTTCTCCAGTGGCTGAAGTTGCACGCGGGGCCAACGCCAGGGCAGGTGCCCCCGATCCCCAGCAGGACCTATAATGAGGTTTCTCACCTACAACAGCAACACATATGCCCAGGAGCAGGTTTCTGCTTGGGGAACCTCATGTGCAGAGCCCCAGCGAGAGGTAGGCTCCCTTCTCCTGAAGTGCAAAGCAAATCAGCATGGTACAAGTGCTGTTAGCATCTCAGTTTTTCAGGTTTCAGGAATCTACTCACCCGCTCTTACTAAATATATGGCAAAACCCAGTTCTCGAACAGATTTCCTGGCCTTTCTGCCTGCGTCTTTATCACGGGACTCATCTCAGTATTTTGTCAGAAGGGATCTTTACAAGGCATGAGCAAGCAGTTATGCTTTCCTTAGCAGATAAAAAGACCAAACAGTGGATGTGTCTTAGGAGATTCCTATTTTACAGAAGGCACTTTCTGGCCACGTGATACAGATGCTACAATGAGTTGGGTTTAAGTCGTTCATAGCTTCTTGAAGCACTGGTAGTGCTAATTGTCTCAGATCTTATTCACATCTCCTAGTTAGTAACAGCAGCAACAACATTCCAGAAATATTTTCTCTATTTGGTTTTCATCTTTTATCTGTGGGATTTCTAATGTAGCTGACCTGGGAAGGAGAAACTGCGGCCTGCAAACTCAAAAGCTGAGTTCTCTAACACTGAGTTTCTGAATTCAGTGATGAGATCAGATTTTGTTTGGTTTTTGGCTTGGTTTTGCATGTGTTTTGGTTTCTTTCCACCCATTTCCTTTCCAAAGTAGAAACAGGCAGCAAAGGGGGAAAGCACAAACCATAAAAGAAGAAATGAACTGGTAAGACTGAAACTTCATTGGCAGCCTCACAAGAAAGACCCATGCGAGTGCTGACTGTAATTTTAACCTTAATCTCCATTTTCTGTTTCTCATCTCAGCAGTAGCTGCATCCAGCGACCAGAGCCAGATTCCTATAATTGTTGTGTCTGTAACAGTGGGAGTTATTCTGCTGGCTGTTGTTATCGGTTTCCTTCTCAGTGGAAGGTAAGAAAAGAAGCTGTGTATTTACACTTCTCCAACTTTTGTAATAACTTTTATCTGACCAGCTGATTAGCACGATTTAGGCAATAGCAGTGTGTGAACAGAGCTGACAAGCAGTAGTGCTATAAACCAGCACGAAGGTGGGCTGATTGATCTGTTTGGACAGGCAGGAATTGCAAATGTGTGCTCACAGATGTAGTTCACTTCCCAGTGATTTTCATCTCTGTGTAGACCAGTCCTGATTGTTAGACTTGATTCTCACAGGAGTCTTTTCATATTCTTTTAAAAATAAGCAGAACATGTTGTAGGTAAAATTTCCTGAAGCCTACATATTTGCATTCTGACTTTGTGATGAGCTTTTCTCACAGAGAAAACTTGACTTCAGGAAAACACTTGTAAAGAAAAACAGAAGAATCCCAGCCGAACGGCCAAACGCCCTAAGTTTGGTGAGGTCTGGATTTCATTTTTCACGTGTAGGATGCTAATGTTTTCCCCACATGCTAGTAAATTATGCAGAGAGATCCCCCCACAGAGGCAAGCACTCAGCTTCAAACCATCAAGCAATCCCATTGACTTCTCATGTGCTTAAACATAGGCAAGTGATAAAAGCCTGGGCTCTACAGTCTTTGACAACTCTAATGGAAGTTGATGGAACTTGTTGGTGAACAAGGAATTGTGGTATTGGGGGAAAATCTGGCTTATGTCAGGATCAGTTTGTACGGCATCTCTAAATTTGTGGAGCAGCCAACACATGAGGCAGTTTTTCATACACTACACGCATATTCTTCAAAGTCGGTGAAGTACCTGTCAAAGCACAGTACATTTATTTTAATGTCAGCAGTCAAATAGTTCAGTGTCCTTCATGCAAAGTAACTTGAGGTGCCGTGCTCGCACGGCATCTATTGATAATTTGTTTTCAGTGCAAAATAAACATTTATTCTTGTAAGTACTTATACACTCAGCCTTGCTTGCATGGCACATCAGCTTGGGTCTACCAAGGTGACTATAAATTACAAGATGTCCTAAGTGTTAATTATAGTCACAAGGTATTTGCAGAGGAGCTGCACTCATACCGAATGTATCGGCTGAGGGTGTTATTTCACAGAGGAGTTAGAAGTGTTTGTCTGTGAATGCACCGGGGTGAAATCCAGCCAGGCTGAGCAGCTCTGTTCCCAGGCATAAAGCATCCGTAGAAGGACAGTTATTTCCTGTCTTAACAGGTAAGTGGCTGCCAGACTCCACTCAAGGTCAGAGACTGACACGCACGCTTCCAACTCAGCCATGCAAGCTCCTGTTATCTGCTTTGGGAGTCTTGTTGGGCTTAAAAATAGGCAAGTCAATGCTCTCATCTGAGCAAGAAGCCTGCAGTGGCATTGGGCGGGGGATGAATGGCGACACACCATTCACACCCGTGGCTCCAGGAAAGCTGTAGGCAAAAAAACTTGGCTCCAGACACTGTAGGTTGGAATTCAAGTCTCTCCTTAAAGCCTGGAGGGGTTGGGTCAAATCCCTGCTCCAGCTGAACAGAGGGAGGGATGTGGACCTTGGTCTCCATCAGCCTCAATACAAACAGGAGGGAGCACGTGTGACTGTAGGAAAGCTGTAGGTGTAGCCTGGCACCTCTGCAAGGAGGAGTCTGTGGATGTGAATTGCAGGTGGAGGGACACATCCCTCAGTAGCTCTAAGACATTGCTGTCGTGTGGCAGCCAGTAGCTTTGGCTCTTGGCACAGTTTTCAGAAGTGCTCAGGGTCCGTTTGGTGAGGACATGCACTTGCAAGTGGCCTTTTTACTCCTGGCCAGGTCCAAGCAAGCAGTTGCAGAGCCTGAACCATTTGTCAGCAGTTCTAGTTAGTTATTATGGCCTTCTGTCCTTTGCCCTGATGGGCTTCCCAAGATGTGCTTCCTCTTGGCTTTTTATCCCTTGATACATTTATAAAAACCCTGGTCAGCTTTGGCTGGAGTTTTATCCCCTCCTTTTCTGCTGCTTTAATCCTCCTACCTCATGCTCTTACCTCTCTCCATGGACCTGCATGGAGCTGCAGACTCCTGGGAGCTTCCCCGTGGTGCCATGCTGGCTGTAGAAGGGGCAGGCATAGGGACTGGAGGGCTTTGCTGGTTCATGTTCGCTCCCTCTGCTACCTGGATGGAGAACTGGCCAAAGCAGGCTTACGGTAGGTCTTCCTGAGGACAAGCCTGATGAAGGAGTGGTTAAGGAAGATAAACCTTCCTTTGGAGCAGCTGCCTTGCCTTCCTACTTTGACACGGGCCTCATGGGTTGTACAGTGTCCAGGGAACAAAAGAGGAGTTGAGCTCGTAGTCCATTTTCAACTTTTCAACCCTTCTCCTAGACTGGGAGGAACCCAGTCCCTCAGCCAGAGGCTGTGGAGGAGCCTCCAGTGCCAAGGTTTGGTGTGTTGTTAGAGAATTAGCTTCGAAACTGCAGGGCTTCTTGGCCACTTGGAGTTCCTGTGAATTTTAAAGCCCATCTCCTGTGTTGAGTGACTCTTCAGAACAGAAAAATAAACCTCGGAAAGCTGACAGCCAATCTGAAATTAAACAAAGCAAAACAAAAAAATTGCTCCTGTTTGGAAGAAGCAGAAATGCCACTGAAACGTGTCAGTCATGCTGCTTCGCCTTGGATGCGATTTCAAGACAATTCATGGAGCGACTCTCATGCTGTGACATTGCAGGGATGATAAATGCATTCCAAGTCGGAGGATAATCCCTTTCTGAGGCTGTTAACCTGTTTCTGGAAGACTTTTCTGTACCTTCGGAGAGGTTGTGTGTTCCAACACGTGGTACTAGGGAGTTAAATTTCCTTTTCTGTTTCTTTCCTGTAATTATTTTAGAAAAACAGACATTCTGAGCTCCAGGATTTGCTCCAGCTGGAATCACCATGGCTTTCCATGCCGAGTAAGCTGTGCCAAGTCCAAGCTCTTCTCTCTGAATAATGTAGGAGGACAGGTACTGTCCAGCAGCAAAGCTACACAAGAAACCCTCTCAGGCTGCAGCAGCGAGGGCACAGCCTGGACAGTTCCTATAAAGGGGCAGCTCAGCTCTGGCTTCATGCTGCTCCCAGGCACTCTGGGAGTCCCTGGGCACCTCAGAATTAGGATATCGCTCCCTAAGGTGCTGTATGGCATCTCTTTGGGCCTGTTCCCCCACGTGCTGGGCAAAAGCAAGCATGTCAGGAGGCAGGGCACTGAGCACTGGGGAAACTGGGAAAACAGAGCAGGAGCTTGAGCAGCCCTGCAGTGAGGAGGGGGTCCTCCCGATGCTGGCAGCTCAGAAAGTAATTTCTTAGTGTAGGACTCGGGAGTCTGCTGGCTCTGCAGGCTTTTTATTTTCTGCTGTGTCCCTGGAGGCAGAAGTTTCCACACCTCTTCCCTTTCTGCCTTCAAGTAGCTCTGCAGTCTCTCGCCTCTTTTGAACGAATGTAAATAACAGCTTGGCATTTCCCGTTGGCAGCTGGCCCCAAACCAAAGGTCAGCTGAACGTTAGTCACAGTGGCATTTCCACCAGCCAGCGTCCATCTGTGGAAACGCGCTTTGTTTCTGAAGCCGGAGGTTCCTGGGAATTTGAAACCGAATGCGCTTTGCCCTAAACAATTAAGCTGCATTTCAGAGCTGATTTACTTGCAGATGCTCAAGAAAACTCTTCCTGTAAATAATGCGTCCTCTGACCAAGGTCATAAATGCTGCTAAGCAAAATAGCTGGTAACTGTTAAAGCCTCCTGCTCTCTGCATCAAGGGCGTATTAATTATATAACAATCAGGATTACAAATCAAAGGGATTCACTAAATCAGACCATACTTGTCTGGGCGAAAAAGAAAAGTGGATTGCAAATCTATTATTAAACCACATGCAAGCATTGAATTAAAGAACGTGGAGTTATCATCTTTGTTTTCTTAGGATTATGTGTTCTTCTCAAAAGCACAATGCATTTCACAGATACAGCAAAGCTAAATTTTGCTTTCCTCACAATGCTTGAATTAGTTGCCACTTGCGGTGCTGCTCCTAATTGAAGTATATATTAATCTGAAATAATTAGACTTCTGTTTCGAAGTGTCAGACAGTGCCACCAGCAAAGATCTGTGCGCTACATCTTACAAGGGGAAGAAGGTGGCGCATCCGTTGTTGTAGTACCAGCCCCTGATTTCTCCAAACTTCAGCAGGAGGCTGGGTGCAGCCCAGCCAAAGCAGGTTTCCATCAGCCTGTGAAGGAGATGCACAGCTCCAGAGCGGTTTTCTCTGTGTTGTCCTTCCAGCCTTGTTCCCAAAACCAAAGGGGTCTAAAGGTGAATGTTAAGAGACTGCCAGTCCCTGCGGTCCCCCAGGCATTAGAGTTTTGTAGCATTAACCAAAGTAATGGGCTTTTAGAGAGTAAAATGGGAAGGCTTTTAGGTCAATGCTGAGCATGTTTGCAAAAGCTGCTCAAAATAACTAAGTATGCTGCGTATCTGCATTTATAGCCTGCTGCCCATTATGGGTGACTTTTCAGTCTGAAGTGGTCTTCCAAGGAACCGGACGGAGCTTTTTATAGAACCTAAGGAAATAATGCTTGAAGGAGTGGAAACTGCCCCTCACCCTGTTCTGCGCATCCATAGAAAGTCTCTCCTGGCAAGAAAGCAGCCTTTCGAAAGACAAAGCAAAGACAAATCTTCCCACTGGGGCATTGGCAATTAGAAGCTTCTGCACCAGAGTATCCATCCTTGACCTTAGCTGATTTAGACTTTTAAATGTCAGCCCCTGCGGTGGCAGAGGGCTGGTTTCTGGCCACAAATATGTGCATCTCGTTAAAAAGTGACTTTCAGAGAGGTTGAGAGGATTGGAGGGGTGGGGGGGATGAAAGGTGTGCTGTCTGTGGCGTGGAAGGTCTAAATTGAAGGAATTTTTCCACAGTCCCCCGCATCTTTTTCCAAGATGTGGCAGGGCTTAAAATAGTTCAGTTTTTCAGTATTTCCGTAGGAAATGGGAGACGGTTCGTAGATAACGTTTTTCATTGAGAGAATTTTTCCAGCATGAGTCACAATTTTTGTTCGTTGTGGCTTTTTAGAGGATTGTTATCTCTATATTCCTGCCTGTTCTTCCTTCTTCCTACAGGACATTGTCTCCCATGATCTATAGCCATTTTATTGATACTGCCTGTTGCCAAACGCCCCTGTAATTCACCTGACAACAGGAAGGATTTGGCTGGAGAAGCTAGTGCTCTGCCAAGTCAAGCTTCCTATCCACCGAGAACAGGCAGGGTCTGGTGCTGCCTGTGTTCAGGTCAACATTTTTCCTATCCCCATCGTGTTAACAGGCTCTTTGCTCTTTAGCTGTACGTTTTCCAGGAGAGAGGAGTGTCAGCAGCATCATTATACAACATCCATCTCTGAAAAAGAAGCGCTCTGGTCCCCTCCCCTTCTCCACAGGGTGATGCCAAAGCTGGTGTGGAGATCTGCCCAGAGTCCCTACATCTTTTGTCCTCCCTCCAGTCTACCTAGGTCAGCTCAGCCACTTTACCTGCTCCAGCACCTTTTCTTCTTTTTTGTTCTGAACACTTCTGGGCTTAGTACTTTGATACAAGCACAGAACAAGCCAGTTTGAGTTGCTGCTGGGTTTAGGGACCCAGGCTGATCTGCTTTCCGATGACTTTGCCTTGGACAGGAGGTGAGATTTGACCAAGTCTGTAATTAAGTTCCAAGAATTTCTGAATTATTCCAGCGGCAGCCAAGGGAATGAGACAAAAGGAGCGCTAGGAACAGATAACTGGCTGGCGTAAGCTTTGTCTGAGCAGGGGAAACGTGGGGGAGAGTACAGCAGTTGGTGACAAAAGCTCCTCATCCTCATGCAGATGATGCATTTGATGGCATTGTGCAAGTTTTTTGTCCACTTGGACAAGAGAGCTGGGGTGCCTTTCAAGCTGGAAATGGGAGTTTGACTTAAGTGGTAGCAGCTCCAGGCTGCTGCTGAGCACTAGTGTTTTAAAGTGGGGCTTTACAGTGTCTTTTCTTGGCTGTGGAGTGGGTAGAAGATGAAGAAAAGAAAACCAGGCTCTTGTCCCCTTGCACTTCTGAATATGTGAATATTTCACCCTGCTTCAGATGCTAGAAATAGGAAACACGACATGGAGGCACACCGTGTTGGGGCACATAACCTGTTTTCCAGGCAAGAGGCCGTCTGTACTTCCTCCTGGCTTAGACATAGTGGAGTGCAATGCAAGGGGTGCTTCCAGGTGCAGTTTCTTACCTGGGAAGCATTTGCTCTCCTTCACTGTAGTGATTGCATTTGTATCGTCTCCTTGGGCTTCTGCCTTCTCAGTTAAAGAAGACATATATTCCTAGCAGTTCCTTATAGTAGAAATATATTCCTAGGAGCTGACGGCACGCACTTCTGCCCCTCTGACGTTTGAAGTGAGCACGCTGAGGCTGGAGGTGCTTGGTGCAGCGCTGGCTTTCTGACCTGGAGATGCAGGGAACAATCCTTGTCATCGCTCCGGGCTGCGCAAAGGATTAGAAAAATCTTCCCAGAAACCCTCAAGTACTGCAGGCTCTAATCACAAGCCTCTAAAGAACAGCCCATTAGAGCAGCTTATTAAAAGCAACGGATGAGGCTTTCATTTATCATGACTCCAAGTCTTCGACTTCTAAGTCTTAAAAGCCAAAGCTACACACAGCACAGTCTCGCCAAGATGCATCTCGCTGCTAGGAATTCAGTTTAATTCCAAATGCTGTCTGGGTCATCCACAGCCCCCTGGTAAATTAATTACGTTGCCTGAAGGCGCAGTTGTCGGGGCCCATCAGATATATATATATTTTTCATTAACCAAGCATATAGTCCGGGGTTTGAAACAGCGCCAAGGGTGTGAAGGACTCCTAGCACAGGTTTATTAAAGTTGGCTCTCCGGTCAGTTGGGTTTGCAGGCCCCGTAGGCATTGCTGGGGTCACCTTCATGAGGACTGGAGGTCTGATAGCTTTGCTCGTCCAAGATAACTGCAAACGGTGCCGTGGTCGAGCCAAGAAGCTGGGCAGCACCGGCAGGCCCAGCTCTCACCACAGAGGGGTGGGAGGCCCTGCTGCAGCTCCAGGCCTCCCTGCCTCGTCTCCGACCATCTGCAGCCCTGCCCATGGAAGCAGGGCTCGGAGCAGAAGTCACACCTCCTTCCAAAGCCGTCCTGGCTTTTGGCGATGCTGCCGCCTCGGAGTCTCATTCTTTCACAGCCAGGAGGGTTTAACTGGAAGTGTGCTCCCAGTAATCTCCACCCTTACGTGGAACTGTCATCTGCTAACCTTCAGCAGATGCGGGGACTCCTGAGCATCTCTAGGAGCTGAGATACAAGCCCTCACAGGCTCACCGCATGTTTTTGCTACTTGAACCAGTTTAGTTTGTTTCTAACAGCTTTTTATTTTCCCTCACGTTAGGCCTTTTGACTATTTTGACCCCAAGTGGTATAGCACAGCGTTAGGTGGCTGGCATGCAGGAATAAGGCCCTATCAAGCCCTATTTCCCTTGCACTTGAGCATATTTCCAGCCATGTAGAGTGGGATTTCCAGTGCTCTGCGCTCAGCATTGGGAACATATTTTGTTTCAGAGCAGCTCCATTTCTGGTGAGGTGCTTGAGTAGTTTCCTTTGTTTCAGAAACCAGTCAGCTCTTCGCTGTAAGGATGTCTTCGGGTTAATTGAACTGTTGTTTCAAAAACCTTGACTTTCATGCTGAGCGGTGTGGGCAGGTCTGGTGACAGCGACTGTTCGAAAATGCCTGAGGGGGAAAGGGGCTCCTCGCTAAAATGTAAGCTAATTAGGGAGGGGTTATAGTTATTGCAGTCCCAGTGATCTTCCAGAGACCTGCCAGTTCCCTGTACTCAAATCTTGTCAGGATGAACCCAAAAAACAGCAGAACTGACTCAAAATAAATTATGCTCAGGTTCAGTTTGGGTGCTTTGGGGTCTTGAACCTCCAGGGTTAAATTGGATCAACGGAGAGATTTAGTGAGAGCTGAGCTTCCCCCATATTAATATGACTCCACAAGCTGGGGCATTACGAAAATACCAAATACTGTCAATTATAGTTAAAAAAATAATAAAAGTTGGCATCACTGCTTATAAAATGCTTGCAAGTTGTTTTGCTGATGTGAAAGGAGCTTAGAGAGACATTCTTCACCAGTTCTAATTTAAGTAAGCACATAATCCAGTATATAATTCTGTAAATCATTGCATGCCTGAAGTTATTTTGCATCATAATTTAAGGTGGTGCAGTTTCAGAATGTTAATTTTGTCTAAATGGGCTGTTTTAATGCGTTTAGGCATTGTAGGGTATACTTTAAAAAATATGAATGGCACAATTTTTATTTTTGTGTCTTCTAAGATCACACAGTGATTTTAGGAGAAATAATGAGAGATCTTCAGCTGACTTTAACTGGAGTATCTGTCTACAGTGTTGGGCATGTAGGACATACTGAAGATCTTCCCGTTTCTTCTGCCCTATGTTCATTGTATGGATAAATTACTTAGTTGCTTTGCTAACAGAAAAATACCCACACAAGTGCTCTGATGAGGCTAAAGGGCAATTACCGAGGTGACAGGTTGATGCCAGGTGATGACATACTCTGATCGGATAGAGTAAAAGCTCAGCAGCCTCCGAAGCAAGCTGGGGGTGCACACGGTGCCTTTCAGCTCACCACATTTTGGGTTGAATTAGACTGTCTGCTCTCACGCAGCTTGTAAAGCTCTGCTCCTGCAGATGTGTAATGCACGTGCAGAGTTTCACTGATGCAAGGACTGAGTGAGTACATGTGAAAGGGTCTGCAGAAGCAGGGCTTATGTCATCCAGCATGTTTTTATTTTTTTAAAGGTGGTGGAGACAGTACTGCACACATGGCTTGTGGAAAAAGTCACTTGGCCTGCTCCAAGGCGGGTGCTTAAGTTTAAGCACATGGGTGGCCCCGTTAACCCTAACAGTGGCACTTAGGTACGGGAAGCACACAGCTAATTGCTTTGCAGGGCCGGGATGTCTCTAATCTCTCCAAGACATTGTTCCCAACAGTAGCCCATGCCATGAAATTCTTGCAGCCCAGGGTGTTGAGAACCACATAGTAATTAAAACAAAAGGGAAGAAGTGCATATAGAACTGTTGCAAATGTATTTGCGCATTGCCAGGGCAGTGGGATTATTCCTTATCCTGGGCCTTTTTGTTTGCTTTTCAGTTGCTGCGATCATGGCTGTGGGTGGGCTTCTTCTCTGCGTGCTGTTGCCTATCCGAGCCTAACATGGTCAGTGTTCCCACCTGCGCTGGCTCCTTTTCGTGTCCTCCCTCCGTGTTTTCCGTGCACAGTCTGCCTCTCCCTCCCTTTCTTGTACTGCCCTGCAAACCCGACCTCTGCGACCAGCTTGGCTATCTCAACAAGTGCAAATAGCCTGACCCCGAGCAGTGTTCTTCCAGTAAGAGCAGGGTTCCCAGAGGAAAAACCCGATGCGATATGCCTCGATTGATCCAGACAACACGCTGGAGATGTTATGTGGCATAGCAAAGCTGAACACCACGTGTGCTGGGCGCTTCATCAAATTCTGCTTCCTCTCACCGAAATGGGGGGCGCGGGTGGATTCGTCCCCCTAAAAAAGGGTGGTGGAGGGCAGGCGGGTGTGTGTAAAGGTTGTGGCATTTGATGGCATGTAACGTGCATGTCAGTGGAACGAACCGAATGTCATTGCTGCCAATGACATGGTGCTGTTTGCAAGGATATGCTCTGGCGGCGTTGGGCATATCTTTGCGGGCGTCGGGAGCTGGGTGTCTGTGCTGCATGCTGCCACGTCCTGCCACCGTCTCCTGCCAGGCCGCCTCACCATTTTCTGCTCTTCTGTACTCTCCTCTCCTTGCCAATGAATTGAAGGAAGGGTGATTTCTAACTTCTGTTGGTATGACTGGATGCAGGTTGAGTTGCTTCCCTGGAAGGGAATCTGGTTTAGGTCTCTGAGTCAGCTGTAACCCGTGCAGGCAGAGATCTTTCCAAGCTTGCTGGCAGCCTTGTGAAATCTCCCCGATCAAATACCTGCTTGAGACCAAGATGTACCACTCACGTTTTAAACTCTGAAGGGTTTGCAGTGTAGCTGGGTGAGATCTGTGGAGCTCTTCTGCTGCTTTTCTGGGGGGGATGCTGCTCTCTAGCTGCCATGGACCATGGCTCTCACCGAGATGGACCATTTATCTGTCCTCTACTGCAGTATTTTGGGGTATTTTTAAATTGGTTTTCATGAATTCTGAGTGCTTAAGAGCAGCATTAGCAGGCTGGGTTGCTCAGCTTGAAATGTTTGGCTGCAAAATGCTGTTCTGGGACGTGTTTCTGCAAGACACTCGTTTGGCATTGATTCGGCACACATGCAGCCCCTCTGTGGGATTCGGGCTTCAGATTTCCTCAGGTAGGACCACGAGAAGAGGGTGGCAGCAGTGGAAACGTTACCAGAGGTGCCAGCTCAGAGGAGCCGAGCGCACACAGAACGGGAGTGAACTGAACAGTTACGAAGAGAGAGGTGTGCAAGGAGAAGTTGGCTGACCTGGAAAACGTCCCCCGCAAGTTTCCTCCTCAGCTGTAGAGAGAATAACGTGGTGACAAGCTGCTGTTCTGGGAGGGGAAACGGGAAAAGGGACTTCAAGGCACGGACGCCATCAACTGTGCTATAGGAAGGCATGACAAGCTCTTTAAAGAGATTTATGGAGATCACTTCAGAGGGAGCTTCCTGCAAGAAGAGGAAACGGTATCTTGTTTAAATTATTTTTAATTGTTCTGGTGGTGATTTAGGCAAGCAGGGAGTCATTCAGTGCACAGGCAGGGAAAGACGTAAGACTAAAAATACCGCTGCTGGAATTTTTGAAACTTCCTCTGTAAGGCATCCAAGTTAATCGGAGGTCAGCTGCAGGCTTGCACACCGTGGAGGGGCACGGCCATGCCTGGGAAAACAGCTGTGAAGGTGGTGAGTCTGCAGTCCTTGGAAAGGGAACCCGCCCTTCTTCCCCTTGGGCCAGGCATCCAGAGTGTCACCTCGGGATCTTATCTTCATTTTATAGCAGTCCCTTGAGTATGCCGTTGGTTTGTGGTACTAAATGTATTTAAGGATTGCAAGCAGCAAAGGTGAACGCTGGATATGGACCGACATCACTAGAGGAAGGCTTTTGCCTTTGGCTCTCAGTTTCAGCATCATTTATCAAGGGTAAAACTATTTGCTGTACAAGTTGTCGTCTCCACACAGAAGCAGAGAAGACGGGATCTTGGCCAGATGGACGAAGCCCTGTTTGTTTGTTCCTCTGGGCGGAATGCAGTCCTGCCCTGCAATACGTATGCAGCCTTATTGCTTTAACATCTTGGAGTAAATAGCCTTAAATGAGTGCTAAGCCCTGGTAAACAACAACCTGGTGGTCCTTGCAAAAACTCCTATAAAATGCAGCTCGAGGTGAGTCGGGTGTACTCCTCAAAGCACGAGATGTGCTTCTGAGTGAAGGTCTGACCCCTGAAAAGCAAGTGGGGGTTTGTTCGCATTTCAGAGAAGTGCACCGAGGTCATTTATCTCATATTTAAGAGATAAGATACATGCATAGAGGTCTTTGCAGGACGGGGACAGGAGATTGCTGCTTCAGGGCACAACCTGTTTTATGGTACTGGCTGCACCTAGCAAGGTGAGGTCCCTTTCCTCACTGGGGACTTCTGAGTGCTGTCCCCATGTTTCAGTGATGTTTTGGCCATGTGCTGAAATGCTTTGACATTCTGCTGTAAAGAGGTGCATAAACACTCTGCTACATCATTGCCTAGGACTTGGATGTCCATGGTCCAGCCACTTTTAGAGCCAGTCCCCTGAGCATGTCCTGCATGGGTTGTGGCCCCAGCTAGGGGCTTGGAAACTCCTTCCCTTTAGCATTTTGTGTCTCTGGGGATGCCCCAAGCAGCTGAGGTTCCACACGACACCCAGCAAGGGCACTCTGAAGCGCTGGGTCAGATGCAGATATCTCCAGGGAGAGCAAGCATCTTCCTGCCTTGTTCCTTGCTGCTGGAAGGATTTTTCTCCATGAGTTGGCTTCTGCTGTGCGAGGCAGTGGGCACTGGTTTCCCAGCTGGGTCCTTCATCTTTCTACCTGTCCGCTTTATATTTTATAAAGCTATATAGGAATCATTTTACAAGTTCACTTTTATAATCTGCTCCATAAATATTTTATGAGCTGCCTGCCAATCTGCAAGTAGTTTTTAAATAAGACATGATGCTTTAAGAATATTTAAAGTCTCACGTTTTTCCTCTGATAGTTTTTTTTTTTTTTTGAAAAACACAGAGCTGTGCAAGGAAGACATCTGCTTTCTAGATACAGAAACTGGGACAAATCCACAACAGGAGTAAAGAGTTGAGATTCAGGTGTGCTGCTGAATTACATTAACTCTTTGGCTGAGAGTCTCCAGCTCAGTGGGAGACAAAGGGAGCATCAGGATCTTTATACTTTTGCTGTATGCGGTACAGAAATGATACAGGAAATCTGTTTTGTACCATGACAGCAAATGGGAGAGTGAATCTTCCATCAGGAGACTTCAGATTTAGAGCTTCTCCAGGAAGCATTAAGAGCAAGCGCACATGCAGAAATGGATTATTTTCCCAAACAACTGGGAGATTTTTCAAAAAGCTGTATTGCAAAACCAGAACATTTAGGTAATTTTATCTGCTGGTTAGGTGCACATACTGAATCAGGACTCTTAATGTGAAATAGAAGATTTTTCTGGGATTTAGTTAGGTGAAAAAAAAAATCTTTAGTTTCTGGTATCTAAAAGAGCTGAAGGCCCAGAATGGAAGTGTAATTTAGCCCCAGCCAGCATGTGCATGGCCTGGTTCTCTGGGTAGCTTAAAAAATTAAGTGTGTACAGGGCACAAATGACAGCCATGGGCAGGTTGTGCAGAAAGCTTCGTTAGTGACGCCCCATTCTGTCTTCAGTTGTACTCCGTCGGCTGCAATTTCGCTTTGGTGGATCTTGCCGAGGCTTGTAATGACCCTTGGGGGTTCCAGAGCTGGGTTTTGTATGCTAATGTGATGTGCTGCTCTGTGTGTTACGCAGCTCTGGAGAGGGCACAGCCGAGGCAACTTGTTTGCATGGGCTTTCAGAGTGCATCCCCGTGCAGTAAAACGCTAACTGCTTGGCACGAAGGTAGGCTTAGAGCACTGCATGCCAGTGGTCGTGTGTTCTCCGTCTCCCTCTCCTCCCTCTTGGTGGTTGAATCATCGGGAGATGCAGTTAGTAAAAAGGGTCGTGTTGGAAAAATGCATTTATGGGTGAAGCCCTCTAAACCTGAGAAAGAGATAAGGGCACTTGCTTTAAAAGGTGAGCAGGAGAAATTTTAACACGCTTTTGGTAGGACAATGATGAATTGAAACATCTGTGTGTTTTTCAGAGGGAAATTGACTTTCTGAATATACACCTCGAAACCCCTTTCATGCACGCACCCCAGTGCAGAAAATGATTTCTGCAGGAAACTGATGGAGCTTCTGGCAACTCGCAGAATCAAAACTGGGGGCTGCCAGAAGTGGGAATTGATGCTGAGACCCAGACCTTTAGTCTTTTTACTTCCAGAGGGAGACAGTATGTTGAAGGAGGAGAACCCATTTTCACCCAGGGATCGTAAATACCAAAACACCCTTTGAAATGACCCTTACTGGGGGGGTCTCTGCGTACAGCCACTGCTTAGATTGGAGCTCATCAAGCAGGACCCCTAGGAGAAGAGCAAGGAGACGAGCCACGCCGTGAGCACCAAAGTGGGGCTACCCAGGCTGTGTCTCCAGGCTGTTCCTCGCCGCCGGCATCAGTTTTGCATCCGGAATGCGATGGTCGCTGCTTGGTTGTGGTTCTGTCACTGCCGCTGAAGTCATGCCCTGCATGGATGGCCTGGCTGTTTTATCGAGCACGATCCATGTGTTGGCCCTGTCATCCTTCTGCCTGTGCCCCCGGATTGCTTGTCAGCCTCCCCCTGTCTTTGCTGCACCTCGTATTGACCCGTTCCCCCGTGCTTGCACAACCCCTGCAGTCTGTTTTTTCTCCTCTCACCTTGGCTCACGTCTCCCCTCCTGTTAGAGGTAAGCTGGCACTAACCCCAGGACCTCGGCCCCGTGGGGTCTGGTCCTGCCAGGGCCAGCTCAGCGGCGGTGCCCACGTCCTGTTGTTGGCCTTTTGCTTTTAATCACGGTCGTTTCGCAAAGCCAGTGCCAAAATCCTGTAGCCGAAAGGCTGCTTGGCCCCTTGCAACCAGGCAGACAGCAGTTTGCAGTAATAGGACTTCCCACTGAGGGCATGTTTCATGCAGATGCCTATTACTGTGTCCTCCTAATTGCAGTTTTGTTTCTGCTAATCGTACGCTCTTCCTTGCTGTGAGTTGTGCTGGAGCACGTGCCTCCCCCCGTCCCAAAATCCTGGGTAATGGAAGAGAAGACTCCCGAGTTTCTCAGCTTTAAATGGTAACCTGGGGCTTTCTGTCAGAGGTGTGACACCCGGCAATGCAGCTGCACACCGACCGCCTTGATGGGCATTGCTGGCAGGTTTTTCACTCTTCCAAACAACGTTCCTATGTCTCACGTCCACGTGGTCTGATTTAAGGGTGACTCAGTTCCTCTATCTGGTTATCATATCGTGTCCTTGGAAAGACAGGCAGATATATGTGCATCCTACATACCTCATCCCATATATCAAAATATATGTGTGTGTGTGTGTGTGTGTACGTAGCAGTTGTCCTTGCCTGTGCAGTTACCCTGTAGCTTCCTATGGGGTTATTGGAGTGAAGCAGGTCTCAGAAATGCCACCAAAGCAGCCACTTGGTGCTAATGTGATGCCATTTCCTAAAGACCCAGTGAGAAGGCTGGGGGCTGAGTCAGGGAAGAGCAGCCCCAGGCTAACAGGAGGATTCCCTGGCAGAGCTGTGACTCCCACGTGGCTGTGTTTGCAGCTCCATCGTGGGATTCAGCAGTGTCCGTGCACTGCCTGACACTAATGTGGGAGTGAGATAGGTCAAGCAGTGACTGTGTGCTTTCTTCCATCCTTTCTGCTGCTGGTCAGAGGGGATTGCATGAAGGGTAGCTCCTCCGATAAGGCAGGAGACATGCAGGAAACCCAGTCAGAGCCAGGAGTATGTAGGAGACCTTTGAAGGCCGTGATCCAACGGCTTTTTTTTTCCTTTTTTTTTTTTTTACACCATCATTTTGCATGTGTATAAGATGCTAGTGTTGGCACAAGGCTGTTTTCGCAAATACCTAAATTGAAAGTTCTGTGCGAATGCCCAGTGGGTAAAGGGACTGTGCAGCACAAACAAGATGGTACCTGCAAAAGCTGGGGTCTTGGCACTGAGGTCCAGGAGCTCCCACTTCTGCAACTCTAACGTTTCATCCCATTCCCCTTCCATTGTCCTTCCTGTTCTTGCTTTTTTCTTCTTAATAATAGCTAAATTAAATGTACGGTAGAGTGGAGTTTTCAGAAGCGTCGGTGGGATTTAGAAGCACAAGTCCAATTGAAAATCAGTGGGCCTTGGGCCCTGAATCCCGTTAGGGAAATTGCAAGTAGTTTGATGAGCTAAAACTGGGACAGCAGTGATACGGCCACTTGAGAGGTCGGATTCATCGCTGTTCTAGGTTTTTGTGCCTTGCGTGACTGAGGTATTGAGGGGGGCTCTTTTATACCAGAGACAAAAGTGTTCTTCTTTTGTTTTTTCCAGGCGATGTGGTTATAGCAAGGCTAAACAAGATCCAGAAGAAGAAAAGATGCATTTTCATAATGGCCACAGTGAGTAAAGATTGAACGTGTATATGTGTGGGTTTGATTCTCTCTGGTAATGAGAAATACAAGTGAGAGGTACTTTTTTTTTTTTCAGAAACCATTTTCCTGGTAATTCACAAAAGAATTCACTTAATTCTGTTATTTTGCAAGTCCCTATCTGCCCTTGCTCCAAGCCCCACAGAGACCTGAGTGCAGGTGTAAGTGTTTGAGCAGTCCTTACACCTGCCCAGTTATTTTTGTTCCAGCACATTTTTGTTCCAGCATGGAGCGAAGTGGATCCCTGTTTGCAGTGGATCTGCCTAGCGAACAATTTTGTTTTGTTTCACCGTGCTGGGGTATACACTGTGACTCAATATGCTCTTAATTTTGCCTGGCTGGCATGTAACAGCTTACATACCGTGGTCTGGATGTGTTTGCCCAGAATACCTGTTTTTTTAAATCTTTGGTCCATCCCAGCCAGCCATGAGGACCAAGCCCATAGCTACTCTTTGCCCTTGGATGCCTGTGCAGAGGTGTGAGGAATTCATAGATTCCTCAATTTCAAACTTCTTGCTCCCAGTAAGCTTTCAGAAATGCCATGTTAATAACCGTAAGCTGATCTGAATTTGTAGACCTTTATGGTGATGCTAAATCGTACATACCATGGTTACTACCAGTCTTACTGTACATCTGAAGCCAGCCTTTGAAAAGCCTTCCTTCATAAAGTGTTGTGGGATCTCTGGATGCGTAATAGCAAAGTGCCTTTTGGGGTGGAAAAGGCAAATGCATCTTGAGCAAAAGTCAAATTTCCATTAGAGCTATGTAATGAAGGCAGCAGGAAGCAAATCAATTAAGAGCCACAATGTAATGTAGCTGTCTTATTAGACTGATGAGCAGTTCTTCATGTGAGTAGCCTTAATGATTGTCAAAACAAACTTATAATACAGATAATGAAAATACTTTTTTCCTCAAGTCCTGGAGAAAATGCCTGGTATTGATTATATTTATACTGTTACAACCCACAGGCTTTGTACTGCAAATATTTTGTTCATTTAAATCTCAGTAGCTCCATCTGAAATAATGTGCCTGATTGATTAGCTAATATGAGACTGGTAGGGCACAATTTATTGCAGCTCTCCTTTAACCACCATCCCTCTGACTTGCTTGGCAAGTTGTTCCTCAGCCTTTTGCATTTCGGAACTCCTCTTCACGGCGTACCCTTTCTGCAGGAGGGCTGCTGATTCGGGCTGTGTCTGGCTGACAAGCCTCATCCCAGCGCTGTCAGATACCTCAAAGCCTTTATAAACCTTTGCGGTGGGGAAGAATTACAGATGAGGCACCGCAGCATGCAAAGACAGAGCTGCCTGCCCAAGGTCACGCAGGCACTCTCTAACGATTCCCAGCCCTGAAACGAGGTCTCCTGACGCCACCCGTTTGCACCAGGCCCTGGGCCAGCCTGTTATGCAGCACTGAGAGGATTTTTTAGCTGCTTGTCCTTCCAGCTGAGCACTGCCATGTGTTCCTCTAAATCTGATAAAGACATGTGTGTCACACACAAACTAAGTGTTATTTTCGGAGAATACTTGCTTGCACGGTGTTCCAGAGCACAGAGCATTCAAAAAGCATTATCTATTCATTTTTTTGCAGGAGAAATAGATTTCCCTGCTGCCGTGTCTTCCGGCAAGGGACAGGAATAGGCATTATCCTTGTCTGTCACAGCCCAGTGCTGTTAATGCTGTAATTTGTGTTCGCAGTTAAACTGCCTGGAGTAAGAACCTACATTGACCCCCACACCTACGAGGACCCTAATCAAGCCGTCCACGAGTTTGCCAAGGAAATAGAAGCTTCGTGCATAACCATCGAGAGAGTTATTGGAGCTGGTATGGAAATGTGTTTCGTGACCCTTAGCAGCATGGAGGGATGACTTTTCTAATGCTAGAAATCAGAGAAGGGCTGTGAAATATGTGTGCTGTTAGGCACTCGGCGTGTTATGTGGAGCATACCCTTGTTCCAGCAGAAGCCAGGGACAAAGCTGTCATTGCCTGCAGTTCTGAAATCCAGTGATTGAACTAAAAATGGCAGAACACTGTCAAGTTTGGCCCACGATGAGTTATTTCTATGGATGCTAAGGAAAATGAGTCACTTAATTTTCAGTTTCTTTCACACCATTTTAACTTTTTTTCTCCTCCTCTATTAAGGTCAGTATTGAAGCAAAAATTAAGAATGAGAACTCATCTGAGAGTAAGAAAAAATACAAACCAAAGCCCAAAGCACTTAACTTCCTTGGTTATAAGAATCAGTTTCCATTTTCTTTCAAGTGAAGCTGTTTATTTGGTCTCACATCTAACATTAGGAATATTTGGCATCCTCTGACACTCCATTTTTGGAGATAATTTACTGTTCACCAGGAAAAATATCCATTTAGGCTACTTCAAAAAAAAAAAAAAAAGTAGTGGTAAAATTGGAAAGGGTGTATAGTCTATAAAAATATATGTTGCTGTGAGAGGCTAACAGCATTCCATCTATTTAACTTACCAAAGGAGGGTTAAGAAGCAACTGGTTTGTGTTTTACAGCTATCTGCACAGAGCAGTGATATAGGATATGACAGAGGTCTTTCATCTAGTAAAGAAAAACATCATGAAATGAGAAAAAAAAAAAAAGGAATATAGAGCATAGCTATTTAAATATAGGAAAATTACGTACTGGAATAGCTCGCCTATGGATTTGGGGTAAAATCCATCACCAGGATTGTTTTGTTCAGTTCTGGTTCTTTCTAAAAGACCACGATTTGCAGCTTCCTAGTTTTTTTTCTGTTTATGAATTATTTGGCTTGTGGTTTGCTGGCTATTTGAGATGATGATCACTGTGATGTTCTGCTTTCCATATTCATGAATGTGGGACAGGCCTGTGTATTTTTGATTAGCTTTCTATAAAATATGGGCTGTATCCTGTAGACAGGCATGTTCCATGCATTCCTTTGGCATGCTCTGATCCCTTTTTTTTTTTTTTTTCCTGAAGGTGAATTTGGAGAAGTCTGCAGCGGGCGGCTGAAATTACAGGGAAAACGTGAATTCCCAGTGGCAATCAAAACCCTGAAGGTGGGCTATACAGAGAAGCAAAGACGAGATTTCCTGGGAGAAGCAAGTATTATGGGCCAGTTCGATCACCCCAATATCATCCACCTGGAAGGCGTCGTCACAAAAAGTAGGTACAGATTGCTGAGAGCTGCTGTCTCTGAACTCTGACTTATGGGAGAGCTGGGAGAGGAAACATTGTGTAGCTCAAGCTTTGAGCATGTGTTTTATCTATTCTCAACCCCCAGCAACTCCCCTTGCTTGAACTTTCACACTTTGTGAAGGTCCAGGAACAGATACCCAAACTTAGGGGAGTTTGTACCCAAAGGACTTCAGTGTTCTTCCAGCTAAAAAGGATAGCTAATAGCTGAAATGATAAAAAATTGAAGTCCCCAGGCGTAATACGTATGGTCTAAGAGAAAGTCCCTTTTCAAAGGTCTGAGATTATGCCATGCCTGGCCATATCCAGAGAGGGGGGTTGGTCATGGAGACAGGAATAAGCTTAGGGCATCTGAGTGCCAGTGGAGTGTACTGCGTGACTTCAGCCTTCCAAAAGTTCAGCAACATCTTTTTCTTGAAATGAGGCCACTCAGGACCATTTTGAATACAGTGACACCGAGCCATCCCCTCAGTGCTTGCAGCAGCTCTTCACTTCTTATTTCTGCCTTTATTTCTATACTTTTGAAACTGCGTGAGGCACAATGTGAGCAAAGAAGTGCCAAGAAGTGGGAAGCAGTTTCCCTGGCAGAAAAGAGAAAAAGGAAAGAAGACCCTGGTGGTTTCTGGCTGTAATATTTCAAGAAACCTCTGTAGCAAAGTGCTGGCCAAGGTTGCCCACAGGGAGGGTAGTGATGGTACCTGGTGATTGCTCACAGGGGATGTGAGCAAGGACAGAAATTAGCTGAAGCTTTGTTTCCCAGAAGCAGGGAAGAAGAATGGGAGCATGGCTGAAGGGAACAAGGCTGTGTAAAACCATTTTTAAGACGAGCTCCCCTTGGGATCTGCTAGTAATGCCTATAGCAAGAGTCGTCCCTGATGCCAGCATATAGATATGAGAGGGGCAAGGACCTGGGGAAAATGTGAAATGACTGGGAAAACGTATCAGCACAAGAGTTACTGCGGTCTGACGGGTCAGTTAGCAAAATGGACTTCAAAAACTTCCCCAGGCCAGTCCTCCAAATTAGTGTATGCACTAAACATAAGGATGGAGGACAGGGCAGCACGTCCGAATGTGCTCAGCCCACACCTCTCTGGCTGTCAGCATGGTGCTGCTGAGGTAGGAGGGCTGTGGGAAACCTACAGAGGTGTCGTTGCTCTTCCATTTGAAAGCCTTAGAGGATTTGGAGGGGCACAAGTGTGCGTGGATGTCCCCGCCACAAACAGAGCCACAGGTTCCCTCTAGCATTTTTCAGCATACTAGATGCGAGCCTGATATATCCAAGATAGAAATAAGCTCAGTTAAGTTATTTGCACCAAGGATTTTTTGTTGGTAAGCCCTTCTTCATTTTAAAATATATTTAAGTGTTCAGGCTAGCCTGAGAAAGGCTAGCCTCACAAGTGTGAATGTCTGTCTCCCCTCTTGCCTTCATGACTGTTAATGTTGGAGCTTAGAAGATGCAATTTAAGCGCCAGCATTTGGGACTGTGTGGCTGCTATTAGCACCAATTGTCGTTCATCAGAGGCACTTCTCCAGAATCAGCTCTTTTTCAGAACTGCAATAAAGCAGATACAAAGACACTAGCTGTTTGTCCTGTTTGTATCCTTATAAAATACTCAGAATTGAGGGTGGTTGGCAGTCGACAGCCTTTTCGTGTATTTTTCTTTGAAATTACATTTCCTAATAACCAAGACAGGTTTCTACTAAAAATTAATTGCATAAAGGCAGGGGAAAAAAAGCCAAGGTCTGGATTTGGATGTGACAGCGAGTGTTTTTTTTGTAGAACCCCACAGCCCATGCAGCAGCTCTGCCCTGGGACTATGTCCCTGCTGTGTGTCCTGATCTGAGGGACATGTCCCCTTGCATGCCCCACCAAGAGCAAGCAGAACATTGATCGTCTGACCCAGCATGCAGAGCTGAGTGCATTAAACAAAAAGAAATAAATAACCAGAGAGGTCAGTTTACAGGGTGAGGGATGCACATTAAAGTCTGAAGTTTTTGTTGGCTTCAGGAGAAGATGAGAGGGCACTTGGCTGAGTTCCCGTGGGCTCACTGGGGCAGGACTCAGGGAAGGCGGAGAATTAAAATGAATAAACAGCATCACCTTGTGTAGTCCTTTATGCATAAAAGCCTCGCTGTGCCTGTCTGTCCTGGACAGGAGGTTCCTATTTCTAGCCCTGAAGGATGTGGACTATTGGGCAGGAAGTGAGTGACGTTCCTGGATCCATAAAAGCTGCTGCTGACATGGCCTTGAGCCTTTCTGGCTGCCAGGGCCTCAGGGGATGGGTGGGAATCCCACTTTTAGGATGCAACTCCCTAGTGAGCTGATTTTTTCTTAAAGCAGCCATCCTTTCTGAAGGGCAGGGAAATGCTGGGGGATTTGCTGCCCCACTGAAAGCCCTGGATTCGTTCTGGGGGCTGGGGTTGGGAATAAATGCCAGAGGGAGGCTGAGGAAGGCAGTAAGCGCAGCCATACGATCTGGCAGTTGCATTGAACACCTCCTGGCTCCGAATTTCAGATGTTTTCCTCTAAGATGAGTCAAAAAAATGGTGTAGAGGAGGAAGAAGGAATGCCTTGCTTTCCCAAGTTTCCAGAGAGTGGTCAAGGTATCAAAGGGAGCATAGATCCAGGTTTTAGCTCCCTGCAGAGATTTGAGTCCAGCAAGCCAAGGGGATTCTCTGCCTACCGTGCCCTGGGCTCTTCTGGCTGGTGCTCTCTAACGGCTGTGTTTCTAGGTGTTCCCTTGGCAAGGATGTAATCACAGGACGAGGATGGGTATTTAAGAGTCCCTCTCCACCTGAGATCCTTAGCCCCCCACTTACATCCCCAGTAGTTCTCCCTCCATCTGTCCCGTTGGAGCTGTTCCCCTTTAGAAATCACGTTTGTTTAATTCAGCATTTATTGAGCCAGAGGCGAGGGGATTCAGCAGTTACCCAGCCTGCCTCTTCTTCAGTCCCCATTCCAAAGTAAATTGAATTTTTCCATGCAAACCAGTGGCAAGCTTTCACATGGAGGGGCTGGAAACTCTTTCTCTCCTTGCTGGACCAGAGCCACTTCTAAATTGGACTTGAAGCGACTGGGGTCTGGATGCAGGGGGTGCATATACCCTGAGCTCCTCGTTAGCTCAGGAAATGCTTGTTTACCACACTTGAGATTTTTCCATCAGACATGCAACCCTCTGGAGCATCTTTCCAGCTTGTTTTCTTTTCTCCTGAATGTACCAAAACAACCTTTATGAATCCAAGACTGTGATGCTTATCTCAAGCTACTTTTTAACTTTTCTTTCCATTCAGCAATCCAGTCATTGGCCTGCTGTAGGTTCAGATCTTTAGCATAAAATGTCTTTGATGCATCATGATTCACTCTGGAAGCAGATGAAGTTGAATTGAATTAGTCCATTTTTAATTCTGAATGGGAATATCCACGCAGGGCCTTAATGCCATTTAATCACTTCAAATGCCCACCTTTAGTTAATTTGGGTTAATTGTCTTCGTTGTCCCTGTGCAGACAAGCCCTCAGCTTTTTCTGCTTTACAGAGGCAGCAGTCCTGCTTTCATTAGCATCCTGTTCCATTGCTCTGACAATGCGTACGTGGGTAAGAATGACATCTGTGCACATTTTATGGCCCCCTCACACCAGCAGGAGGGAGCCCTGCTGACACAGAGGATCAGACCAGCCTGTTAGAAGGGCCAGTGTTTGCTTTTAATTTACTTTGTTGACAAGTTATTCTATTTGTGCCTTTATTTCCATGCTCTTGGATATGGGGCTAATTTATTCCACAATTACTGTCAACCTGCAGCAGTCAGATAATGAAACGTGAGTGCCAGAAATCTTCTTTTCTTTTCTCGGATGGAAACCCAAGGCAGGAACCCGAAGGAGGTCCCTCAGGGTGGTGTCATAACGAGATGCCAGTCATGCTGCAGTGCTGCCTTTAGGTGGTTGAGATAAGGGACCCCACGGTACAGTCGGTTTGCAGTCTGGCGTTAGACGGGGCACGTCATAAATAGCAGCACCGTCTCTGCAGAGATTTTATGGGAGGTGACTTAAGGAACCTGGGCTTTGCCTTAAATCACTCATTTGCAATGCGGAGAAATACCTTGCCCGTGCACAGACGGGCTAAAAGCAGCAGCTTCGCCTCATTGCAACCCCGGTGGCTTTTTAGGATTATCGTAATGGGAAGCTGCACTGCTGCAGGTAGGGGGCAAAATTTTGGTAGAGAAGAGGTGCAATCACCAAACACTTGTTCAGTGTAGAAAGAGGGTACAGTACATATGTAGGGTCTCCTTCCTTGCATAGCACACAGCATCTCCTTGGGCATGGAGGCTCTTTCTGTGTGCTCAGCTCCACGTGGATGCGAGTCTGCCATCCCTTGAAGGTGGGGCCCGTAATGTCTGGGACACAGGATATTATTCGTGGCCCCGAGGTGCGTCTCTCATTTCAAAAATAATACTTCTGGCAAGCTTTGAGCTCAGACAATAGCTGTGGTATTAGCTTAAATAATTGAAGCAGCACAAGTCCCTTTTGCTGCGAAGGTAGTGTCTGCACAACAATGAGTGGTTTGATTGACAAGTTCACAATTATCTTTATTATGTAGATAATTAAACAGTAAATTAGGCAAACAGTTAACACAGAGGGAAAGTGGGAAGATTAAGATTAATCTTAGTGGTAAAGTTTGAACTGGTTTTTAGGAGCATTTACCTTCACGTGCATGTTATGACATGTGGCAGCTCTCGTTGATCATTTTTACAAAAGACATTTATAATGCACTTTACAGATAATTGACAGCTCCTCTTTTGTCTGTGCTTCATGCTAGCTAATGCAAATTGATTTAAATAAAAAATAATTTACATGTTCTTATAAGATTTCATTGAATTTACAAGGGCTGGAGCACACCACATTAATTATTGCTATGCCATTGTGGCAAGCTAGCGAGAAATTAGATATAAAAACTGAGCAAAAACTATATATAATTACCATTAAAATGACTCGGGCATGAAAATTAATCAAATGGATTTGGAAAAACATTATTATTCCTGTCAACAATAGGATGCCAGGTCTTTTGTTAAGAGCTTTTATTTTATTTTATTTTTTTAGTACCTTACTGAATCAGTACAGTCCACATCTTGTGAAGAGATCTTGTTATTATTTAGGGAAGGAAAAAAGGAATCAACACAGCAAAGAGCTTCCTGAAATTGTAGTTGCAGCAAAGCTGCTTGTGTCTCCCAGCACGCAGGGTTTGGTGCTCACAACCTCTTCCACAAATGTCATCCAGCCTTTCTAGAAGCTGATCCCCCATCCATAATACAGCACTTCCCTTTCTTCCCCTCCTCGATTCTTCTCTCTTTCCGTACTTGTGGGCAAAAAGCGTGGGCATCCTGCTGGGACCGTAGCGTCTCATTTTCAATTTACTGTTGCGTGGCTGTATATTCACATCAGAAGCATTATGAAAAGACTTTATTTTTGTTCATGTTTTTAAGTAAATTACCGCTAATGATCTGATCTTGTGCTCTTCTTTTTTCCAGGCAAACCGGTAATGATAGTGACAGAATATATGGAGAATGGCTCTCTGGATACATTTTTAAAGGTAACATTTAGAACTCATTTCCAGGGGGATCTCGGTTAAAGTTGGTGGTCTCTGCAGAAGGTTAGCATCAGTGAAGATGTTTGCTGGGTGCTCGTCCGGCCATTACTGCTGTCCGGAGGCTGGAGTAACTCGGTTACCTGTTTGGCCTCTGTTTATACAGCTGATGAAGGACGTGGTTTGTGCACTGATACAAACAGGTAACAAGAAATTGCAGACTACTGTGTTCATTCTCAAAAGCAGTCTGCTGCATCAAAATGGTCGACTCATCCTGCAAAACTTGTTGATATTTCCAGAGCACATCCATGCTGCATCATGGCAAAACCCAGACATGTCAAAGTTTTTTCAGGAAACGTCAGACCTAGAAAAGGGAGAGTAGGGGATGTGGTTGGGACTGTAGCATAGTAACACAGGGAAAGCCCCTACCCCAGATATTCACACATGGACCTCGAGAGGTAAGATTGAGGAGCAGCTTGGCGCCGTTCAGCCGGCTGACTCAGAGATAGTCCGCCCTTGGTGTTTTTGTACACAGAGCTACATGTGTTCACTCCCTGTAGCAATCTCTTCATCAGTCACTATTGGAAATAGCTCTCTCCTTGATCTCCAGTTAAAAGAACTACATTTCCTTAGCTTTGTCTCTAGAGATGCTTATCCAAACAATGAAACTTTGAAAAGCTTCATGGTCAGAGCATGAGAGTAATGAATTATTAATTTCCCCGTTTTTCTTCCCTGGAGACTTGCCTTTGCATTTTTATTTGTGCACATTCGATGCTGAGGGTGCAGAGGCGCTCAACTGATCCAGTGTCTCCTTCCTTTTGCAGAAGAACGACGGGCAGTTCACGGTCATTCAGCTGGTCGGGATGCTGCGAGGCATCGCGTCAGGAATGAAATACCTGTCTGACATGGGTTACGTGCACAGGGATCTCGCTGCCAGGAATATCCTAATCAACAGCAACTTAGTCTGCAAGGTGTCCGACTTTGGCCTCTCCAGAGTCCTAGAAGATGACCCTGAAGCAGCATACACTACCAGGGTGAGTTCCAAGGATAGTGAACAGAGGAAGAAAAATGTATTCCCTGCCTCATTTTGGTATTCAGGCTTTTTGGCCGAGAAGTTTCTACAAATCTAGAGCCCCTAAACTGTGCACGAGGGTTTGGCCAGGTGTTATCAGCTAATTCTTATCAGATCAGTTTTGCAAATGTCCGCACCTTTATAGCGAGGATGGCCGAAGCAAGCAGAACTTAGGGGAACCTGAGTCAAATAGTCAATTCTGCAAAAGAGTCATGCTCCCAGCTGTGTTCTGTCACCTCTGCTGAACACTGAAGGTCAGGAAGAGCAAGAGTTGGGCGCTTTACTTAGGTACCTAAATACAGGTATTAGCCACGGTCTCCTGGATAATTTAACCCATCTCAAACATTGGCAAGCACGTAATGCCTTTTGTTAATGAGGCACGTTTTCCCTTCCCATTAAGGGTAATTTTCCCCAGCCTGAGGAAGGGCTGCTCCAGCCTCGGTGCTCTGCCCCTTCTCCTGTGTCAAGATCATTCCCTTCTGGGCATCAGCTCACCTGTCCCAGCGTGAGGCCACGCAGCCCCAGTGCCACGGAGAGGGGCTGCACAGGACCCATCCCCTCCAGCACAGGCTCTGGAGAAAGCCTCTGATAGTCGTGGCAGGTTGGCACGCCTCAGTGCTGCCTATTAACACATTTTTCCGAGGGTATTGTGATGGGAGCTCTCTGGGTCACATTCCCAGTTCCTGCAGAGCTTTTTGCAATCTGGGAAAGACGTTTCAGCTCTTGGCAGTCGCAGCAGCCCCACGACGGGGCTCGGCGCACGGCTGGACCAGAGCTTCCCTGCAGGCTGGAGGGCTCTCATCCAGCCCTGCTGCGTCTGCAACGTGCTGCTGTGTGCTAATTGGCACTGCTGAGAATCTGGCCCTTCACTTAAGGCATGCACTGATAAGCCTGTGAATAAATAATTATTGGAAGACAGGACTTTTCCTAATTTGCTTTTTAAATGCGTTCCAAATTCTACCTTTTTCTAATAACAAACAGGGAGATTTTGCAATATGTAGCTCAGCACTGAGAGGGAAAGACTTCACAGTAAAATACATTTTGATATAAATCAAGGGAGACAACTCTTTAAACCCAATGAGAAAAGTATTTCTTAATCCAAGCTCTCCCCTCACCCCCAACCCCTTCCTTCTCAGAGCTGGTCTGAAGTTTGATTTCTGAAATGGCAGAAAGGGGAAAAGGAACTACCAAAGCACATTTGACAGCTCTCGCTATGCCCGAGTAATAGCACTTAGACAATAAATGGTACAAAAGATAAACCACAGCGATCTGGGGGAGGTGGCACCGTTTTCAGTCCCGAAGCCGAGGCCAAGCTGGTCTTCACGCACACAAATTTCCGTGCCCACTGTGCAGATCTCTCTGCAGGCTTGGGACTGCATTGCAAAAAAAAAAAAAAAAAAAAAGAAGAAAAAAAAAAAGGCATTACTTCCGCAGCAATTTGCATGAAGCTCTCATTAGATCAAAGTCTTCCCTGGCTTCAGAGCTGTCTGTTCCTCCCCCGCTCGCTCTTAGAAATGGAGGAACTGTATTCCCCTACCAACCAGTGCAACATAATTGAGATGTTGATCCTATACATGTCCCAGCATTCAAACAGCATTCAAACAACAAACCTTCAGGACAGCCAATTAGTAGGCAGCCTACAAATGCTTATGGGCTGAGATAATGTGGAAAGGGGCCCCATGCTGTCAAACAGATTTACTTTAAAATTCGATGTCTCTTTCCAGAGAGAAAATAACATCCCTCGGTGCTGTAAGAAGTGCTGTTTTGTCCTCTTTTGCATGTTATCTGCCCTCCCCTGCAATCTATTTATTTTCTTTTCGTTCCAGGGAGGGAAGATCCCCATCCGATGGACGGCACCTGAGGCAATCGCCTTCCGGAAATTCACGTCGGCCAGCGATGTCTGGAGCTACGGCATCGTGATGTGGGAGGTGATGTCCTACGGCGAGAGACCTTACTGGGAAATGACAAACCAAGATGTAAGCACGTGCAAGAGCTGCCGCGTGATGGGACTTCTGAGGGCTCAGTGTTCGTTCTGCAGTCAGAGAGGCGGGATGGGGATGGAGGAGGACAGCCGCTGTAAAAATGTCTTTGCTCCCCGCGCCAGGCAAAAGCTGTCCTCCCGTTTGATGCTCTGTTTTTGCAGCAGCCCAGAGCAGAGGGAAATGTGTCTGCATGGAGGCAAGCCTGGTTCCCCCAGCAGACTGCTGGAGCTTCACTAATGCTGTTAGAGCTGGAGCCTGTCCCTGCTCTGCTTAATGACAAAGGTCTGCCAGGGGATAGATGCTGATAACTGGCAGCATTTCAATTGTGTGTTCAAACCCCTGCTGTCACGTGAAGCAGAAGCTCAAGAGAGCCGTGGTAAGGGCTTGTTTTGCTGCACAAAAGCTGTGTGATTTGATCGAGTGATAGCAGTCCAGACTGGTAGTGCACAGAGCTGCCTCTCGGTCATCTTTGCATTGCTGATCTCGAGAGCAGTTTTGCTCTTTTTTTCTCCCATCCTTTGCTTTCTCTGTTGTGAATGTCTTTGAGTCTCTGTTAGTGCCAGCTCTCATTTGTTGGTATAGCACCCTTCCAGGTGTGCTGCCTTGCTCCTGGGCCCCTGTTCCCCCTCAAGGTCACCCTCTGAAGTACCTCCAAACAGTGGCGTGCTTGGGGACACTGTCACCCTCCTTACGCTAGCTCTTTTCCCAACCTACCTGAGGATCTCATGTTCCTACTGCAAGACTTCCTCCTACCCTGAGCTCACTATAAGCAGCTGTCTTTATCTAATCCTGAAAACAAAACGAAGCCTGGGACTGCCAGATTTTCTGGGGCCTCCCCTTCCTCTTCACATCTCTGAGAAGTGTGGCACGTGGAATTCTCTCAGGACACCAGCTAGTGCATGGCGCAGGGGGTCACTGTGTGGCACACAAGGCCCCCAGAGGAACTCTGTGATGGGGGAAGAAACGCAGCCACTCTGCATATGGAAAACAGAGCCTCTCCTCATCCCTCCTGCTTTGTCTCTGCAGTCCTGCCTCCCCTAGAAGTGCCATTCCTGGCTGGGCAAAGCACGCACGTACTTGCTCTGCTGTGAGCTGCTTTTGTCCCCAGCACAACACCTGATGTTTCATCCTTTGTTTTTGAACAGCATCCCTGTCCCCTTGACGTTCTGCCATTTTGTTGGCAGCAGAGGCTCTGGCTCAGCCTTCTGTTTCTCCTCTGTTTTGTCTGGGAGCCTCTGCCATCAGTGGCTGTAACTACCTGTCACATGCAGGAGCTGCTGCCTCATCCTGACTGCTCGCCTCGAGTCCAGGCAAGGAGACCAGCAGTGCCTTTGAGACGGTCACACCACGTTTCTTGCCAGGGAGATGAGCGTGTTGTTTGGCATGAATGCCCCACCGCTCCTGCACCGCCGAGGCTGTCACATTTGTAGGGAGCTCGGTAAAGCAGCACATATCTGCACAGGGATTTATCTCAATCAAATACGGAGGCTTTCTTCCATACCCTGGGTGGAGAGCGCAGCAATTTGCAGCCAAGCTCTTTCAGTTGCACCAAGCACTGTGACAACCTTTGGTGCCGATGCACCAGCATGGTACAGATGCTGTTCGTAAATGCCAGGCTGAGATCCTGGCTGGTTCCAGTGAGATAACTCTCCGTGGCCAGGAGGGTCCCTTGTCAGGTTAGTAACACTAAACATCTACACTTTGCAGTACTGTTGGGGAAAAACAAACAAACAAACAAACAAAAACCAAACCACAGATACCACTTTGTCCATTCTGTGGGGCATAGGGTGAATTTCCCACGTGAGAAGAAGAAGAAGATAGGGGAATGCTATCTTCTATACTTCTTGTACTTTCTATTTTCTGTTATACTTCTTGTAAATTCTATTTACAAGCAGAAAGCAGAGAACTAGTGAGATGTTCGTGATCATCAGTTCCGGATCGGGCTTTGCTTAGGTTCTCTCTCTCCCTATAATAAGTGCGTGTGGATGGTGGCAGCCAAGGAAACACAATTCAGTGCTGTGGCAGAGAAATGGTTCTCGTGAGATTTGTTCCTTCTTCCTTCATCCTCTAAAGACCTGTCCTTCTTCTTTCTTCCCCTCCTTGAACTGGCAGAAGAATCAGCAGTGTTAGGTGTGGTGTTGGCTTTTCTGTGGAGGTCTAGGGAGCTCTGCTCACCTGAATTTCAGACTCCGTTGCAGAAGAGTTTCTTGTTGTATAGTTTCTAATTAAAGCACATTGTCAGCAGCGAGCAAAACGATTCTCACCGTGTTTCAGCCAGATTACTCTCGCCTCTGTTAAAGGAGGTGCAGTGCCAAATGTCAGGCAGCACTGTAACTTCGAAAGCTACAAACCATGTTGTGAAGTCATTCTGGTGTCTAGAAGGCTTTCTAAAAATAAGCTTTGCACCGCACGGTAAGGTTTGTATGCAGGAATTGAGAGGATTTTTGTGGCCTGTGTTACACAGGTTGGTAAGTTAAATGAGCACAGTGGTTGCTTTTTAGTCTTCAGACTGGTGGTTTTATGAAAACAGGGAGCTAAAAGAGTTTGGTTTACTGGAATAGACTATCTCGGGTCTTCCCTTTCCAAACATCCCCAGTTCTGTCACTCAGATCCATAAGTGAATGGTGCTTGTCCAGAAAGGGTAAGAGGGACACAAAATGTCTCCTTTTATATGCAAATCTTTGCTCTTCAAGTCTTAAAAAGAAGTGGCACCAATGAACAAAGTGGCAAACGGGCCTTTTTTTGTTGTTTTCTAAATATTGAGTTTGCTTACAAGGTTGCTGAAGGTCTTTATTTGCCTCATTCTTTTTCTCCTCTTACTGCCAGACCCTGAAGGCACCTTCAGAGAGAGGCAGCGAGTATTTCAGCATCCTAGCCCCTTGCAGTATTTTGATACCATTTGCATTGTATCACCAGAACGAACGACATCCTGTAAATTGAGTTAACGCTATTGATTGTGATGTTACTGCCAGGAATATAAAGCATGCATAACCCCGTTGCAGATGTAGTTCAGATATTCTGAGCTGGTGCCAGCTGGTCTGCTACCCGTCTTGCTGCTATTTTCTTTCTGCTACAGCTGGGGGATGATCCGTTATTGTTATAAATACATATGCAGACACAGCAAATAATGTTCTCGTGGCTGTGCCACACTGAGGCTTTTTATAGGGCGGTTGTAAATTTGGGGCCAGGGACCAGCTGAAAAGCGTGATGTGAGGAATAGACAATGCGTACAGCATAGTATGGTGGGCCTGTTTTTTTGATTCTGTGAGCAATCTGCAGATGAAATTGCTTTGTAGACACAGGTTGGGCAGAGAGCGGTGCAACTGCTCCCCCGACAGATGAAATTTTAGATGGGTCTCTGGCAGAGCACAGAGGGACTGCAGATGTTGTGGCCAGACCCTCGGATATGCTCAGCACCCTTTGAGAAGATTACAAAGCCTCACGTAGTTTTTTCTCTGCTACACACATCCTCAGGGGATTCCAGTTTCCCACTGCTGCTGCTCAGCCTGCTCATTCCTGGGACTCCTCCACTTGGCCAAAAGCCATGTGGTGGGGGCTGATTTGAAAGTGATGCACGCGGTCTTGAATTTCGGAGCCTTCTGAAAAGCAATGCCATCCTGATGTGGCTCTCACTGACAGAAAGATCAAGAAGACAACTTACACACTAACCACAGAGCCATCTTTTTAAACACGGGATGATTCCAAATCAGGAGACAGTGCCCAGCATGAATGGCATTTGAGGCGGTCCTTGGAGCTGAGCGGTGAAGCACTGTGGCTTTCCACATAGCGTTCCCCATCAGCAATAGCTGTGTCCACCTCCATTTGGGCAGCAAGGCTTGGGAGTAGAGGCTGTGAAGATGGGCTGCTAGGACCCTCCTGGCACGGGCACAGCCCCTTGTGGCCCAAAACAAGAGCTGCATTCTCCTCAGAGTTGTTAAGGGTTCAAAATGGGCACTGCTGGGCTTGGAGCCCTGCTGTAAATCTGTCCAAAACCAGGGAAAACAAGTTGCATTATTCAATTCCGCCCTCATTTGTTCGTTTGTGCCTTTCAGGAGTGCAGGCGGCACATGTGCGTACCACTTGTTTTCAGTGTAGAACCATAGATGGGTTGCGCTTGAAATCAGTGCAACAACCCTCCCGTTTTTAATTTACATACTCTTAGGCTGACATTTTAAATTCCTGGCAGAAATGTGGATGCAGTAAGAACGGCTAGACCCAGACAGTATTGAATGATATATGAGATGGTTGTTCTGCCTCTGCATTGAATCCATCCATCAATTAGCATTCAAAGTCTCTTTTGAAATACAGTCAGACTTTTATTACTGTAATACAAATTTGTGGTCTAGCACATGCCTTTTCATTTAAAAAGAAGCCAGCGTCTGAATAAACAAAATCACTGCACTCCAAGATGATGCCAGAAAGCCCCATAGGCTGCTGGTGGTGGACCACAGCAGGCTCTGGGAGTTTCCTGGTGTGACCTACAGACCTCAGCTGAGATTTGGACAAGTGCAACCTGAGATCTGACCTTGAATTTCCTTGAATTTCCAGGCTCATTTTGCGGTGACTGAAAATGAGTTATTCGACCCATCCCATAGAAAAAAATTGAAAGAAAATAGAGTTTACTTGATTTGCATCTTGTATGCAGAAAGGGGGAAGAATTTGTGTGTGAGCATATTGCTGGACCCCTGTTCTCTATTCAAACCAATTTGTGTTTGGGGAAAAAGGAAAGAGAAGGAAGGAATGTAACCTGTCAGCCTTGTGTTTTGTCTCCTGCAGGTGATTAAAGCCGTGGAGGAAGGCTATCGCCTGCCAAGTCCCATGGACTGCCCTGCTGCTCTCTACCAGCTAATGCTCGACTGCTGGCAGAAAGACCGCAACAGCAGGCCCAAGTTTGACGAAATTGTCAGCATGTTGGACAAACTCATCCGTAACCCAAGCAGCTTGAAGACGCTGGTTAATGCATCGAGCAGGTACAAAATCAGGCCAGAACCATTTCTCAGAGCAAGATTCTTGTCTGAATACCCACCCCTGGTGTTGAATTACCACTTACTATTTGGCCTGCGCACATCCGCGGGTGGATGTTCCTCCAGCTTCATTATGTCCAGGGGAGTTTTCCCAAATCAACTTCTTTCTGTTTAAATTGGCAGGCAGGTCAGCAATTCAGTTACTCTATAAATGTAGTGCTGCTGCCACAAAGAAAATTACTGTGGCCTGCCTTTCAGAAACTGGAGTTTCAGCAGTATTTATAGGTCTATGATAAAGCTACCTGTGCTCTACCCCAAGGTTAGAGAGAGCAGGACTGAGTCCGTGAAGTAGATAGTAAACACCTCTCAAATTATCTGCCTGCTGACTTTATCTTTGTAATACCAATGAGAGAGTCTCTGGCGGAAACTTAGGATGTGCAAAGCTCCCAGATGCCCAAGTGCGTCCTCCCGCAAGTGTTCCCAGGTGTGTTAGCTGCCCCCTCCAGGTCTGACAGTCTTTGAAATTGCAAGAGGATCTCTGTGGTTACCAGAGAGCCACACGCAAATGATTTGCTAAAACCACATTAAGTGAATCAAGCAGCTGGTGTGCAATTCATTTTGAGTTTCAATAGCTACACAGCTACACATGGGGAAGTACAGTCAAGAAATGAAACTGTACTTGGAAAAAAAACATGAAAATATTCATATTTTTAGTGAGTTTTAGCAGTGGTCTCTCCACCACACTGGACTCTTGGAGAGTCTTTTGTTTTTTCATCATACGCACCAAGTACAACTTCTGAGCCATCTGTGCTGCTAATCACTCAGTCCCTCACAAGGTCATGAAGGAGTGATGTATATAAATCATTGCTGCTTCACTAATGGCAGTGGAGTTCCCCTTATTAACACTGGAAGAGAGAGGCCCATCAGAAAAGCTTATTCTCAGAGGATTAAAAAAATAAAAGACATGTTCCTGTGCATGACATGCCATGCATTAGAAGAGAAGAAACATGAAATCTTCACAGTTTCATTTTTAAATACCAAATAGATCCAATTCCTCAGGCTATTTTACATGCATCATTAACCATCTGAAGAAGAAATTGAAGAATGTCCCTTATTAGCAATTAGTTGTAATGTTAGTCCCAGCAAACCTGCAGGAAAAGGTTTATGGCAGTACAGAATGGGATGTTTCTCTTTTATTTTCAGTTCAGAACAGTCATTCTCAAGGCCTGTTAAGTAGCCGTATGTACTGTTATACCAAACTGTTAGGCAGGAAAAAATGAAAATAGGGAGTAAACTGTCTCCTTGAGCTGCTGAGCACTTTGCTGATGTTTTATTCCACTAACAGGTCCATGCAATTCCAAACCTCTCCTTTTCAAAGGCGCTGTGGGTATATTCAGGGTGGATGGAGTACCTGAACAGCCAGGCTTTGGGGCTGTGCTTCTATAATCACAGATTGCCATGCCCAGACCACAGTAATTGTGAATGAATCATAATTTCAACATACAGCAGCTGTAAATGATTTTTTTATATATGAAATGTATTCTTTATGGAAATTCTCATTAATGCAAATAAGGGAGGAAGTCACTCTCTACATTACAGTGTGTGCGTATCAGTAGGTACCTCCTGACATTAGTGATGAAAATCCACTTCTCATTATGATTGCTTAGGAGTTTTGAATTCCTCATGTGTATAAAACGTTATGGGAAGCCATTATGCTCTTGGTACTGCAAGTGCTCACATTTTATTGGACCCTTCAGCATTGCTATTAAATAAACAAATAATACTAATGTGATCATAAAATATATGAAGATTCCTGAAGTGCTATAACAATATAATATCCTAGCTCGCCTTCCAGTTGAAAATCTCTTCAGTGTAATTCTCGCAGTCAGAGGCTGACCCAGCAAACACTTTCACCTGAGGGTAATAATCTTTTTGCGAGGCTTACGTTAGCTGGAAGTCGTGTTTTACAAAACGGGGGACATCTGCTTTCTCTCCTGGCTGACCTTGGACAAGCCCCTTCGCACTCCCCGTGCATCATTAGCAGAGTGGTGGACCCGCACACAACACGGGTCACTCGTGCCAGGTATTGTACTGGTGTTTCTGCCACGGTGAAGGGTTTTATCTTGCCCTAATCGCTGCTTCCATGTGCAGCATAACCGAGCAGGTAGCACTTGCTGCGGCGAGGTCTGAGCAAGGGTGTGTGAGCAGGAGTCTCCCCCTGCTTCCAGGGCCGAGCAGGAGCCTCGCTGGGAGGCTGAGGCGTGGTTGGAGCATTGCTGCTCTCTGCAGGGCTTGGCAGATGCTGCCTGCATCCAAAATCCTGGCCTGACTCTGCAGGAGCAGCCCCTGAAGTGTTAACAACAGCCTGCCATTGACGGCTGCTGCTGGGAAATGTAATTTGGGTTTCGGTTTCCAGGCTCTGGGCTGTCTTAAGTTAATTATGAGCTTTAAAGAAAGAGGAGGAAAACAGGGCAGGAATAGTGAGACCAAAGACCTTGAAGGAAGAGTGCCGGGGAGTGCCTCATAGAAAAGGAGCCTGCTTGTTTGTGAGAAGTAACGGGGACAGACGCTAATCCTCTCCTCTGCTGAGGCCATCTCTTCCGCTTCCAGTCCCTGAACAGCAGGCGAAGTTGAAGTGATGTATTTGATACACAGTGAAATCTTGCCTTGCTAACCTGTCACCATCATTTGGTTTTATTCCGCTGACTAAGGCGGTTGGGAGATTTTGGAAGCTTTTACACTGCCCTTTCTGAAAACAGTGGTAAAACTGACAACTTTGGGAAATCCCGCATGGGGCTCATAAGAGCATGATTCCCTCCACCTCGTTTCAGTTGTGCTGTACTTCCAGAGTAAAGTCAACAACTTCATACGAGACAGAGAAATCATTGCTCAGCAGGAGCCTGCTGGGACGATTTGGGCTTCAGCAATCACTGAAAACGCCACCGAAGAGCCACCTTTACTGTATGAGAACATGAGCAGTTGTGTCGTGTTGGGTGGATCATGATGCTGACTCTTTTTGCTTCTCTTGTTTTCCCCTTTTGTCTTCAGAGTATCAAATCTGTTGGTAGAACACAGTCCGGTGGGGAGCGGTGCCTACAGGTCAGTGGGAGAGTGGCTGGAAGCCATCAAAATGGGCCGGTACACCGAGATTTTCATGGAGAACGGATACAGTTCGATGGACGCCGTGGCTCAGGTGACCCTAGAGTAAGTAGTCTCCAGATCCTTTTCACCTCGTGTGTTGGAGCTGGGGAGGGAAACAAACTGTTCAAAAACACTAGGGAGGAGGCTGCAGAAAGGAAACCATTACCCTTTGTTTGCAGTCAGCAGTTCCTCTTTTAGCATCTGTATTGATGATAACAAGCGCAGGCAGGACTAAAACTTACCGTCACTACATTGGCAGCCAGTGCTTTGGCTCCTTCACTCACAGAAATTAATGCCTGAGTTTGAATAATTGACAAGCTGTCCTCTCAACGTAGTAGTCGGTTTATTGTTCAAGGTTATTGACAAATGAAAAAAACAACCCTACTAGTGATCTTATAGGAGCTACAGGCCCTGCTGAGGTATACTGGATTAGCTGGTTGCAGAGTAGGCCCAGGCTTAGCCAAATGCACAGTCAGGCCCAGTAAAGTGTGGAAATACTTTTCAAGGTTACTGTAACAGAAATAAGAGTAGATACAAGCCGTTCACAACACAAGACCATCACCAAACCCACAGCTGTAGGGGACAGGCTCCCTGGCTGAGACTCCTCCTTGTGAACGTGCCCTTGGTTTTTGCACGGGGGTGTGACTGCAGTTGGGCTGACAGTGCTAAAGCAGCTTGGTGAATACCTCGGGGCTGCTGGTTAAGCTCCATCTTTCATTGCTTGTCTTGCTTGTGTAATTTTCTGTACTTTCTTCCTGCATCTTACTCAAACTTGCCCCAAAGCCTGCCTTTGCATCTGGGTTTACTTGAGCTTAGGTTACTGCAGATGTTGAGGCAGAATGGGAAAGGTGATGCTTCGTGCTTGGTGCTTTGGAGGAGGTAATGGCTCCTCCAGCCATGTGCCAAAAGCCAGTGTGCATGCAGAATCAGTGCAGAGGATTTGGAATAAAGCAGGAAAAATCCCAGTGCCCCACAGAACTGCAGTGTTTCTCCTGTCTGCCACAGGGCTTGCTGTGGAGTTTAGCCTTCAGGGTAGGAGATCCTTTGCACATGTTGCAGGTTGGTAAGACCCGCATAGAGGTCAATTTTGCTTTAACGGGACAAAGCATGCATGGAGGGAGTGCAGGCGCATCTCTTCTCCCTCTCAGATTTTATTTGCTCCATCCACATGCCCAATATTTATCCCTTACAATTGTATTCATCCAGCCTAACTTCAGGCACTCACGTGAAACCCCCAAGCTAGGGATGAAGTCCTTTCTAGGAAGTGAGGGTGCTTGGATTTCTACCTAGTTTATTTTTTGTGTGCCTGAGACTCTTACATGCCTTTTCTCAGCCAAGTTCTACAATTGTATGTCCCACTCCTTTGGCTTCCGAGGACTCCACAGTTCCTCACCTACTCATCTGATAAGGCATTGCCCAGAAACACCAGGCTTCAGGACCCCATTTGGACCGATCTACACCCTTTGACCAAGGAAGAGGTCCATCTCCAGGGCAGTCAGGAAGGACCTAGCCAGGTGATGGGTGAGGTGGATAGAATGAAGCAGAAAAATGAGAGAAAAGCATTCCCCTCTTGAATGCTTGGAGCATTCCCCTCTTCTGTGACACATTAATCTTAGAATCAGAGCAAGTTCTGGTAGGAAACGCAGGTTGTCTAAAACGTATCCCAGGCTTGTTGCTGTTTGGCTGAATTAGCTATATCAAAGAACACAAATAGGTTTCACAAGAACTTCCAGTTTGTTCCTGTTTAGAACTTCATGCAACTTCAAGAGCTTTAAAAGAAATATTTAGATCAAAAGTGAATTGTTTGGTTTGGGTCAGAGAAAATTGCTTTGGTTTGGGTCAGAGAAAATGTTGTGTTCAACCCCAAATTAATGAGTTTTTTTGCCACTCGTTTAGCTTTATACAGTCTTAGCATCCCTCTTCTTAGCACACTGACAAAACTATTTCTAACCTCACCTCTTGGAGTGAGGTACGTTTCCCACAAATCATGCAAAATGCAGTGCATTGTGATACGTATAACTAAGAATTCCTTGGGTTGCACATCTGTGTTCTATGACTATTATAACTGTGCCAGATACCCACCTTTTCTTGGATGTAACATTTCAGATCGTGAAATGATCTGCTTAATTAGACTTAAAATGTAAATACTTACCTCTGTTTACTCTTTGGTATTTCAGAAATTTCAAAGCTTTCTCCCCAGATCTTTCCAGGCTGCCCAAAAAGTACTTCAAAATGTTTTTTCAGATTGCCAGTGAGCTAAGAGATCCATCGCCTTTACAGTTCTAACCAGAAAGGCGAGGTGTTTTAAGTCCTTCAAATAACATTATAGCTGCCAGAGATGCTCTGAACCTCACCAGCCAAAAACCACATCTAAGACCCCCTTCGCAGAGTCCCAGGATGTTCTCAGTAGCACAGATGTCATTTTACTCTGGTCCTTTACTGGCCCCAATGGAGATGAGATGTCTGAGCTGCTCAGCTTCAGCTTTCTTCCAGGGTTTTACAGCAGCAGAGCAGGGCAGAACTGATGCTTGAGAGCCTTGGGAGCTTTGGGGGATGTTTTTGAAGCTGAAAGGAGACATTTCATGAATCCATCTTGCATTTCACTGACTTTCTTCTGTTGAAACTGAAAAAGGCAAGAAGTTGAAATGCTCCAACTTCGCATACTAGGTGAGGGGCTGTGTGAAGGAGAATTGTAGGAAACAAAATTGGTTATGAAGGTGTATCCCACAGGTAGCTCCACTGGCTGTATTCTGGCTAGTTTAATGCTAGCCTCAAGAAGAAAAGCATCATTGCCTCCCTGTGTAGTGTTCAGATTGGATTTGTTCATCCTCCCAAGGCTGAGAACAAACACTGAGACAGCTGGTATGGCCATCGCCAGCTCCTATGATAATGCCATAAGGAACATGCATAAACTGCTGATTTGACTCCTAAAACGTGCTGGGAGGCTCTTTTCACGTGCAGAGACACCATACTTGTACAAAAAAATCATCACTGCACTGCACAAATCCACCAGAGACCCACCTGGCAAGTTCAGATAAGTGTTCTGAGCTGGTTCCTGCTATTTAGTTATCCAGTATTTGCTAGCAAATAAAATCTCCTCCAGCCACCTTGGACAGAGACACTTAGGCTTGGGTCTTGACCTGCGCAGTCCGTGCATTGCAGTTGTGGTTTAGCAAGAGATCTTGACCCCACTTGGGTCTGTTTTGGGGAAAACTGTGGAAGGTTCATTAAGTCAGTCAGCCAGCTAGATCAGGAAATCTGTGGTCTTGCTCAGACTTAGTGAAGAAGGCAGAAGACCAGACTCTCAGCCACTAAAATAGGAGAGACTGCCATAGATTCCAGGGGCTTAAGAGGAAAGGTGTCCCAAACTTAAGACCTGAACTGTGTTCTCTGGATGTAAACTGGCAGATTGCCCTTAAAATCAACAGAGTAAGGGACAGAAATGTTTACTTGGCTTCTGTGGGGCACAGTTGAGAGTTGTGTGGGTTCTCCAGAGATGCTACGGGGAAGAAATAAACATTGGAACAAGCAAAGTTCTTTAAAGGTTAATATATTTGGGGTTTTGTTTTTCTGGAGATTTCATTTTTCTCCCCGTAAAAGGAAACAACAAAACATTTTGTACTCTGCAAATGAGAATTCAGGTTAAATGTTCCTTGTCTTTTTTCAATAGAGGCAACTGTTCAATATATTCCAGAGCTGGGACTTGGGGGGATCAGGTGAAAAGAAGATCTGAAAATTTGAAAGTAGCTTTCTTTCCCCAAATGACATCAGTAAAATATTCTTTACAATTTAAGAGGTTGCCTTCAAATACCATCCAAAATGATATTCCCCAAATTCAAACTATGCAGGAGACATGTGGAAATTAGGTGGAGAAGGGAGAACTGGGTAATCCCTGCCAGAAAACGCAGGAAAAAAAATATGATGCATGTAAAATACTTATAAAATCTCCTGGAAAAAAAAACAACTGCTAGTTCTCTAAAACAGGGGATGGATGACACTCTCATGCGACTGGTGGCAGTGGGCGCCCAGCTTGTGGCCTCTTTATGGGACCTGGTTGAGATGGTAGATGTTCAGCCTTTTTGAAAATCCCCCCCAGCGTGCCAAGCAAAATCCCATTTACCCCCTTGCTTCTTTCAAAGTAATGGTTTAATGTGTTTATTCCAGAGAAGAGTAGTGCTAGTGACAAATTTTAGGAGAAAAAATATTAAAAAGCTAAAAACGGCGAATATCGCCCCAAGTCCTGAGCTCTGCCTGCTTAAGCAAAGACCTGAAAATGTATGTGTTCAAACAAAGAGTGATTTCTACATTTAGCTCTAATTCTTGCAAAGGGACGAATCACCTTGTGAAAAGTGGAGCCTCACCCTCCACCCCCTCTTTCCAACTGGATATCAGACTTGAAGGAAACCTTTCCAGTGGACCAGACCTGCTCTTTAAACTTGTGGACCACCTAGTGACTTTGAGTGTGTCTGGAGCTCTTTCAATCCACTGCAAGAATAACTTTACCAGGACAATGCTCAAGAATAGATAGATCCATGACATGAGTTTCAGTCTGACACTTGACTGGACCAATTACTAACAAAATGTGGACTGCATACTTACACCTTTTGAAAGATCTGTACTCACTGAATCTCAGGACACCCTGTTGTTTGTTATTAGATGAAGAGCTCTGAATATTTGTAATAATATGTGCTGTGTTGCTTTGCATTGTATTTTTTTCTTATAAAATAAAATTATTTATTAAAAGTTATGCTGGATGAAGAACGTTTAAGAGTTCACCTGCTCTAGATACTTATTCTTCACCTGAAATCTCAATCCTAGGATTGTGATATCGCATCTGCTTCTGAACAAACCAGTTCTTGAGTCGTAATCAGGTAGAATGGGAATAATGAATAAGAGCAGATGAACTCTTAAAAAAAATAAGTCCTAATCTCATGCAAAAGTCCCTAGCAAGTGGATTCCTCTCTCTTTAGCGTCTTCTGAAGGTCTTTGAGGTTCTTCTTTCCCCTCATTCAAACTGACAACTAACTAACTCCGTGAGTAGTGCCAGTCTGCATGGGCCATTGTAGATTTACACCACACGAAGAAGAGTGGTGAAAACTACTGGAATGGGAGATGAAATGCAAAACAATTTGTGGTAGGTCGATGGCTTCCAGCCATGGAGATCTTTCAGGAACCTGTCCCTTTCTCTTGCATGATTAACGGGGTGGTAAGGGAGGTTGTATTTTATGTGGCGATCCAGTCCTAGCCTACACTGTGTTTGACAAACTGGTCCATGGTGTATAAGTAGTTCTGTTTGTAAATAAAATGTTTTAAATATATTTCTTACAACGTGGAGACCATGAATTCAACCCCTGCAAAACGGAGGATATTGCAGTTAAGGGGATACTGTGTTGTCCCTGGCACATTGGAGCCGGGCTTTCATGCAAGGACATGGTAAGAGCACAGCATGCGTACGGCTGTATACAGGCTGTTTGGAATGGGCTGACACCAATTTTCCCCTTTATTCACTTGGCTTTTCGGTTAACCGAAGTCAGGTCTCTTAGTACTGCGTTAGCATGTGGTTTGAGTTCCTCTGTGTTTCCATTTTCAACCCTGTGTGAAAAAAAAAAGTGAAAAGGGGTATATGTGGGGGGGCACTTCTCCCTGGAACAGGACTAAAAGTTGTCTTGTTGCAGCAGCTCAAGTATTTTGAAGCAGGGAGACCCCATGGCACGTGGGTGCCCGTATCTTCACAGCCTCGAGGAATGCCCGTGCCGCTGCCACCACGGCACACACAAACCCAGCGTCTGGGGTAGGGCCCCTTGCATGGCGAGGATGCTGACTGCAAGTGCCGTCTGCCTGCTCCTCGGCAGGGTCCCAGATGGGCCTTTTCTTGCAGGAAGTGCAAGTATCCTGTCACTCTCCCAGAACCTTTCCAAAGCCCGTGTAGATACCCCTGTACATCTCCAGAGCTAGGCCCGGAGATATTACCCATTGGCTGTGGTGGAATGGGTCAAGCAGCACTGGACTGGATTTTTAGACCAGCTGTGTTGCAACTCTTTGGCACAGAAGTGGGTTTTGTCCCCAGAGTGGCTGTTTTGTGCACCCAGTTTTGTTTAAAAACTGCCTTCTGCCTTTTGCTGCTTTAAGTCCAGTGCTTCAGCCCTGGATGCATGGGAGGCTGCAACATGCTGCAAGTCACGCCTGAAAACGGGAATTAAAGCTCCTGCATTCATTGAGGCATTTTGGGGGAAGTTTTGTTGCTGGCTTGGCAAAGTGCAGAGTGGCTTTTGAGTAAAGCTGCTGATTTTATGCTAGGTGAGCATCTGGCTCAGGAGTTGTTGTCTGGGTTAGCCTTCTGGCTGGTCTTTGCGGAGGTAAAAGGCTGCACAGAAGTTTTTCCCCTCTCTGAGGAGTCCCCACACTTTTGGCCAGTGGCTCCACATTTGAGAGGATTCAATATTCAAAAAAAAAGTAGTCTAGGTCCCCTGGTGAGCAACTAATGGATTGAAACTAGAAACTCGTTTTTCTTCTCTCTCTTTGTGCCTCCCTTAAATCAATGAGGCTCTACTCAAGGATATTGGGTTATGGTGGATGCTATAAGGAAAAAAAAAAACAGCTCTGTAGTGAGTAAAACCTGAAACGGTACATGGATCCTTTTGATCAGGAAGCCTGCCGCAATGCCAGAGAGTAGGGACTTTTCCTTGTTAGATTGACGGAGCTGTGTATGAAATGCAAACACATACATGCCTTGCTGGATAGTTCCAGGCCGGCTTTTCTGCATAATGTGCGAGAGCAGAGGGATAATATCAGAAACAGTACATACGTGAAATATGTGGCGTTGGATTTTCAAAAGAGCTCAGCTTGCACTTTAGATACCTGCAAAAATAGCTGAACTTTCAAAAAGTAGCAGCAGAGCAGCAGCACAGCAGGGGGGAAAGACGGATGTTGGCTCTTTTAAATATCTGCCCCTATACTGTTTTTTCGATCTTTGGTGTGAACTTCCAACTGTGCTGTGTACATAAAATAAATTGCATGTAACAATAGCATTACTACATTTTCCTTCATTATTAAGATTGCTTGCTGAACTAGTTTCACAATTCAGTGGAGGTAGAAATGAAAGCATGTCCCCCTGAGAAGTTAGGCACCTTTGCATCGTGCTGCAGCCTTTTCTTCCGGGTAAGGAATGTGCTGATGTGTCTCGTTGGCCTCTGTTGCTCCACACCCATTGTGCTGGGATTTCCGGCATGCATCAGAGAGTTGCTTCACTGAAAAAGGGTGTAATAATGAAATGAAGTATTTAGCCTCGAGCAAAAAATCTGGTATTTTCCAAATCAAAAGGCTGAAAGCATGACAATCCTATGGAGAACAGGTCTAGCTTTCGGCTTCAACTGGCTTTGTGTTAACACGTCAACCTTCACTTGGGATTTCTTTTTGTTAGAAACAATGATTTTGAAGAGTTCATCTATGTAATTTTTGTATCCGGATGGCTGTATTCACACAGGAGCTTCTGTCCAGAATGTAAATCTGCTGAGAGAGGTGCACCTTGATGGGTAGCTCACGTGCATTATGCAAAAGCATTCGGTGGTCACTGTACACGTTCACCTGCAGTCCAGCATGTAGCTCTGCTATGGATCATGTCTCCAGTATGACCCAGGTGGCAGCTGGGCTCCTGGGAGCAGCAGCTGGGGCTCTGGGTGTCGCTGGCAATCCTGGCTCTTGCATGCATCAGTCCTGCTAGTGTCATTTCCAAAAAGCACTTACGTCCCGCTGCCTTTCAGTGGAAAGCCTTCTCCTGTAAATGGCTTACTTGTTTCTGGGTGTCGTCCACAAGCTGGTGCCAGCAGTGCTGTGATTCACACCTGTATTGGCAAAACCTGTAGAGCTTTACTTTGAAAACATCTTTTATTCGGTCCAGCTGAGAGGTAGAAAGCAAGGGGCTTATATTTCTGTAATGGAAGTCTTCAAACAAAACATCACATCTCCTGTAAGTCAAACTGCTTCGCTAATGGTCTATGTCTTATGTTGGAAACAGGGATGCACCTGTCTTGATCCTTCTTCCAAACTTATTCCTTCAATTTCTTTGCTAACGCTTTTCCCTCTTTAAAGAAATCAGTAAAATTACTTCTGCCATAACCCATGGTGTGGGAGTCACCTCACCTGGCTTCAGATGTCATTAAATCTAATCACCCCAGCTCCTAGCATAATATCTGCAGGGAACAACTCATCCCACTCCTGTCTTTGGGTGGGATAAATTGTCTCTCGGAGGTGCCTCTCAGGCAGCATTTGCTGCGAACCCTGGTGATTAGCTTCATCTAGATGCCGAGGCTTTAGAGTCAAACTTCCGAGAAGACAACCGTTCCTCCTAATCTTACCTTACAGCTTTCCTGTAGTGGCACCCCTGGCAGACCCAACACAAATGCCTTTATCACGTAGAATTCACAGAAAAATAATAATCAAGCAGGGGTTTGCAGAAAGATTTACAAAAGCCCAGAGGGGAGCTGCGTTGCCAATTCCTGTTGACTTTAGGAGGCCATCGGGGCGGCAGCAGTGCCCGAGGCCTTTGCCATTCAGCTCCCTCCAGGAGCTGGCTGTAGGATTGCGGTTTGTGTACCTTTGGCTTTGCCTCACCCGAAGAGGAAGGAAGCGTGGATTGACCTTACTCCTTGCTGCTCGTACCCAAGATCAAATATCAGCCTCTCTCAGGAGAAGAGGAAATTGCAACACGCGTTTTCTTACGCAGCTTTTCTCTTGGAACAGGACTCCTCGTGCATCGCGGAGTCCTTTGCTGAAGCCGATGTTGACATTTTGCTGCCGAGCTTTTCCCCTTAGCCGCTGAGGTGATCGTGGTGAAATCGTGTCACCTCTCTGAGACACCATCAGCCATTTAAAAAAAAAAAAAAGAAAAAAAAAAGGGGGGAATATTAAACTTGCCTCCCTTTATAGAGGGCTTTGGGAGCCACAAAGGGTAAGAGGTAGGCAGCAGCAGCGGTGCGTGCGGTGCGTAGTGTGTGTGTCGGCGTGTGCCTGAGCCGTCCCTGGAACCAACGTCTGCTTTCTCCCACAGGGATTTGAGGCGGCTGGGCGTGACACTTGTTGGTCACCAGAAGAAGATAATGAACAGCCTTCAAGAGATGAAGGTCCAGTTGGTGAATGGGATGGTGCCGTTGTAACTCGGTTTTAAAGTCACTTCCTCGAGTGGTCGGTCCTGCACTTTGTATACTAGCCCTGAGATTTATTTTGACTAAAGAAAAAAGGGAAATTCAGTGGTTTCTATAACTGAAGGACGTTGGCCTCTGCCACAGCGTTTATAAAGCAGTGTTTGACTAAAGTTTTCATTTTCTTCCTATTTGTGTCCTCATTTTCATGAAGTAAATGTAACATGCATGGAACATGGAAATGGATCTACTGTACATGAGGTTAACCTGATTTCTTACGCTTCAGCGACGACAACAGCAAGCCTTCCCACCACATGTTGTCTGTACATGGGATATATATATAGCACCTTTATATACTGAACTACAGCAGCACATGTTAATACTTCCAAGGACTTACTTGAATGGAGAAGTTTTGCAGCTGTTTGTGGGCTCGCAAAAGCTGCGCTTCACTGAAGTTTACTTCGAGTCTTACTTGTCTACAGAAGTGTATTGAAGAGCAATATGATTAGATTATTTCTGGATAGATATTTTGTTTTGTAAATTTAAAAAAAAAAATGCTGTTACACAGCGTTAAGTTATAGAGACTAGTGTATAAACATGTTGCTTACTCAATGGCAAATACAATACAGGGTGTATATTTTTTTTCTCTCTGTGTTACAAAGTTCTTTTAGTTTGCTCTTCTGTGAGGATAATACATGACGATGTATATACTGTACAGTTTGCTATACATCAGGTACAAGATTGGGGTTTTTTCATCGTTTTGTTCTTTTTCCCTTGTTTGCTTCATTTTGTTTTTGTTTTTGTTTTTTTTTTTTCTCTTTTGTGTTACCATTATGCTTTGTATTTTTGCTGCTGTTTGGTTTGAGCAACATGTAAAGCCTTCGGGAATTTTGATTTGCATATATGAGGTAGAAGGAGTCTGCTCAAATAAAGGATGTCACCCACCTTCTTCTCCACTGTGAGCTGGGGCCATCCAGAAGAAGAGAAGTAAAGTGGGAGTTAAAGCATCCAGCTCTCACCCTGCCTCAGTGGCAGTGTGGCATCTGTGTTCCCTTGGTGTGTCTGATAACCTGCCCCTAGCCTACCCCTTCCCCATGTGTCCCCGTCATCCAGCATTGGGATTTCACGGCATTTCCCCCACACTGTGGCTAGGAAAGCAGGGGAGGTTGCCTTTCAGCTCAGACACCCTCTGTGTCCCTTGGGGAAGTTAGGCAGGTTGGCCCCAAAACCCCTGATCCCTCTTACAGAAATGGGTACAGATCTGGCCACTTTGGTTCAGAGCACAGAGAGGAAGGTGAAGGAGAGCAGCCCGACCTGGTCACAGTCCCACAGTCGGTGTCATCTGCCCGAAGCTGACACAGCTTGAGTCAGTCCTGGGTTGTAGCCAGCATTCAGTGAGTACATCAAAGCCCGAAGCTGCTGTTTTCAGGGTGTCCTGAGGGCAGCAGAGAGATGCCCAGTGCTCTGGAAATCCTATCAAGGAACAGTTTGGGGCTATCCTCCTCTGTTTGCTGTAGATGGGATTAATCGGTGCAGTTATTTTGGTATTCATAGGTTGTTTTGTGAAGACTTCGGTAAAGATAAGGATTAAAAACTGCTCGGCGGATGGCGAGTGTGTGCTGTTTCTGTAGATGTATTGCTTCCGTGGAGGCGTTGGATAGCATCTCGGAGTGTTATTCCTCAACGATAACATCGACGTGTTGGCGTAGGGCTTCATCCCCCGGCGCTGCAGAACAGAGCCCAAGCACCCTATCTAATGCCCAGAGGCAGCTGCTTTCCTTCACCGCTTGCAGAAGCACGTGTTGAATGCCACTTCAGCTGGCTTTAAAGGTCTTTAATTTCCTCAGAGCCCTTTGATGAGATTTGACGCAAGTAGCACTTTCTGAAGAAAAGGGGTAGGGAAAGGTCTAGGAGGGGAGGGTTTGAGGGGGGTTCTTAGCAGCAGGGCTTTGCTTTCTTTCCACAGGGCTTCTCGATGCAGAATGTGCCCATTTTGAAATGATGTGCACGCTCTGTAACATCCAGTTCTCCTCCACGCCGCCTTGCCATGAGGCACGGGCAAGGTACGAAGGATCAGGAGGAAGCATTGGCATGTGGGAGGGCAGGAGGGAGGGCTGGCAACGCAGGAAAAGGCAACACAAGAAACAGGACGGGGACAAGTCATGGGGCGAGATGCAGCAAGGCAGAAGGGGAAAGGCAGAAGGCCTGGCGAATCTCCACAGTGTGATTTCTCACCCCGCTGTTTCGTTTTATCAGCCACCAGGCCACAAAAGGCGGGGGGAGAAGGAATCAAGACGTAACAATTTCGGCACATAAAAGAGATTTGTCAAACAATAAATAACGTTATTAGAGCTGTCAGCAGAGCTGTCTCGGGATTATTTGTGCCTCCCTGCCTGCAGTGCTTTGTAAAATAACCCGTAGGAAGACAGAAGCAGCAACTCGTTTCTTTGGGAGGTATCGTTCGGTCGCTGCATGCATCAATCAGCTGCTCTGAGAGAGATTTTATTAGCAAATTTCAGCACTTAGCCTTTCTGCCTGCTTTCTTCGGCCGTTCGTTAACTGCTGGCTCTGTGTGAGGATTTGGGTTTGTTCTTTTCCATGGACTTTTACCAGAAAATCCCCTTTCGCCATTTGTGGGTTTTTAAAGGCATGTGCAGTACGGCTGGGACGCACCGCATCGAGGTGAGCGTGATGTGCTCGATATTCTGTAGTTGCTGCCAGATACTGGAGCAACCTTCAGGATACCCTTCAGAGGAACCCGTGGAAAATGAACTGTTCTTCAGCCAGACTGCATTTGTAAATAGGGCACCTGCTCTCAGTTCCTTGAATAAATAAATAAATGACCTTTTATATTTATTTCAAGAGCTGTTCTTGCTACAGGTCTCTTTATTATAGGCTTTGTCTCTGAACTGAAAATAAAATAAATTGATGTTTTAACAAATAGGGTCCAAAAGTTACAGCTTCTACATCCACGCGCAAATTCCAGAGTACTTACAACAGAGATTTTTGGTTACCAGTGAAGAGAGAACTGCAAGCATGCAGTATCTGGGGCAGTCGGACCAATTTTGGGGGCCTTCCACGTGGATTTGGGGTTTTAACATAAAGCTCCCTTCCTACCATGGCGTCTCCAAAGGGCCAGGGGGGATTTCGCAGCAGCTCTTTGAGACTTTGTGCCTACAGTCTTGGCCAGGCGACTGCTGTTCCCACCTGCTGAGCCAGGGCATCACGAGGCACAAGCAGACAAACTTGCCTTCAGAAGGAGTGGCAAACAAAAATACACAGGCTGAAGTCAGACATTGGGAATGGATGGTTGGAAATACTGGCGTGCGGTAGGAGATCACTGATATTTTTCTGGTTATGCTCTTTTTAAGCACAGAGGGAGGAGGTAAGGGTGGTAGTTAGCTGACGTTGCTAGTTGGGTGCTGGGCTTTTAAGGCACGGAGAAGCACTGGCTTTCATTAATCAGTAAAATTGGAGCTGTAGGAGGATTTCCTGCCTATGGTAAGTCAAAGTAGTTTGTTTTTCAACTCGCTAGTGCTGCTGTTGGTACAACGAATACTTTTTTTCCAGTACGTTCTGCTGTTAATTGTGAGGAAGTACTTCAAAGGGCCGGGGAGGTGAAGAGGCCCCTTTCAAAACAGTTTTTCATCTCAGGAGAAGGAAGTCTCCCCAAGCGTGGCTTGTTTAGACTAACCTCCAGTCATTAGATAGCTGTCATTTGGAAAAATTACCTAATCCTAAAAAATGACTGATTAAAATAATAATAATAATAACAATAACAACAACAACAACAACAACAACAACAATAATAATAATAATAATTTTTTATTCCTTCTATATCTTAACAACAAGAAGAAAAAAAAAAGATTTTTTTTTTGTCTAATTCAGTGTTGAATATAAAAATGACCAAGACATTGCGAATCTTTGGACCGCTGTAGTGTTGAAATTAGTCATTAAGGCATGTGTGAGATACATCAGTAGCAGTGTAAGAGTAATGCTTAGTTTCTGATCTTTTATTAATATGTTTGTGGCAATTCCTTAGGGCAAGTAGATGGGGAGTGTGTGCATCCAGTGCTGCCAGAGCCTCAGCTCAGCATTTCAGCCCATAGGAGACTGTAGCATCACTGTATTTACTCTCCTCCTGCCCCTTTATTTCCCCTCCTCAGATTTTCTAGATGTTCTCCGTACATTTTGTTTGTGTACTTTTTTTTTTTTGTAGTGTAAGATACGAATTTTTTATATTTTTTTCATAAAAATAGAAATCTTTGAATAACAGCTACCTGCGGTTGTGGATCAGCCCCTGCAAGAGGAAGCCTACAACGTTTGGGTTCCTGGGGCAGAGGGGCACACGCACCCCCTGAAGGTGCAAAACCAAACTGGCACGATCACGGGAAACTCTGCCTTTTCTTTTTCTCTCCTAAACACAGTCTTGTCGCTCATTTTGTGGTCCTGGGTGAAGAGAGGGGATTCTGGAATGAGAGGGATGTGTAGAGCTCATGTGCAGGCCCTAATTATTCCTACCTCGTTATATGCTGTTACCCCTCCTCCTCTGTTTTTATTTTAGAGAGAAATCTGCTTTTTAGTCTCGTTTGTGTGGCAAGATATCTCCTGAACCGGCTGCGGTTCTGCGGGTGCTGGGCCATCCCCCCTTCCTAAGAATCATTACATTTTGCTGATTATTTTCCTATGTAGTCTGGGGTTGTCTGCTGCTGGACCAGGGTGGCGACGGAGTGCAGGATGCTGGCAGCGAGCAGGGAGGCTCTGAGGACAGGGCAAAAATAATATTAACTCACCACACCTAGGCCAAGTCTGCTTGGGCAGCACCTGTGGCAGCTTCATGGAGGCTGCTAAGAGGAAAGCACAGGAATAGGAAACGTTGTTAAAGAGGCTGGAAGTGAAATAGCCTTGCAGGTGATGGGGAGGCTCAAGGCGACTTGGACCTTTACATTTTCCTCATCTCTAGCACTTCAAATGCAAAAAAATGTGAAATAAGGGGAGGCAGAAGTTTTGAGGGGCAAGGGTGCTTAACAAGGCTTCCTTGGAAAGGTGCCTGATTTCTGCTGCCATAGCAATGGGGATGGGGTCCCTCGTGAAGGCACATCTGAGGAAGCAGCTCCCTCCTGTCCCCGTTTCTCAGCCAACGTGAGCGGCCAGGACAAGGGGCACATCCTGATCGGATGGTGAAGGGCCCAAACTCATTGCTGTTACCAAGCTATGTGGGCTGGTAAGGATGAAAGCTGGCTGCAAAGTCCTTCTCTAGTGCTCAGTTCTCACTTAAAACCAAGGAATTAGACAGTTTCTATGAGCCTTTGTCTTACAATTCCTATCCAGTAACCTTGAAGTGGGGACCTGGGGCTCCGAATCCTCCTCCTCTGCTGGCCCAGCAGGGTTTGAGCCGGCAGCGCTGGCATCCCCAGAGGGGGCCCCGGCCCCGGGGCAGGAGCAGCAGGGAGGCTGCTCCCCATCGCCCCGTGAAGCTGAGCCGCCGAGCAGAAAGCAATGCAAGATTTATGAGGCCGTGGGGAGAACGAGCGAGGGACTCTTCATGTATTTTTCATGGGCTGAAATGCATAAATAGCGTGCAATGCATAAACTGTGACCGGATACTTAAACAAAATAGGGAACGGAGAGCAGGCTGGAGCGGGGGAAGAAGTGATGAACGAATGAGGGAGATTTATTCAAGTCAACAGGGCCTGATGAAAGTCACCCCCGAGTGCATTAAGAAGCAGCCAAAACAGCACGGCCTGAGCCCAGGGTGATTCATCTTTGCCGACACGAGGCTGGAGCCGGACCCCGAGGACCGGAGAAGGGCACACGTAGTACCTGCTTGTTAAAATGGATGGGTAGGAGGGGAGAGGCTGGCTCATCTGCGATTCCTCGGGTGCAGCGCGGTACCTGGGGAGCTGCGAGGACGAGGTAGCGCACGGGCGGTTCATCACGCCGCAGCCGAGCCGTGCAGAAATCAAAATGGCACCAAGGGGTGGCAGGAACGAAGTGGCACACGCACTGGGGGGAAGGTGGGAGGGAAGGGACAGTGACAGAGGAGAGGAAGGGAATTTGCATGTTTTTTTTCTGCAGGTTGAGGGGGGATTCGGGGGTTAGAGAGAGCACAGTGCCTACCTCCAGTAAGGAAGGGCAGTAATAGCCCAGCAGACCCGACGACGTCTCAGTATCATTTCCGCGGCGTGTGCCACCCTCCCCAGTGCTTCATGCTCCCCAGCACCCATGATGTTCCCCTAATTAGGTGCACGTGTGCTTCCAAGCGTGCATTTTTAATAACACATCCACTGCCGGGGGTCAAACCTCATTTACATGAGAATGGGCATGTCACTCTATTGATTTATTTATTTATTTCACTCTCTTTCTTTCTTTATGTCTCTTAATTCAGCCATCCCTGTGCAGGTATTTCATGCTGTAGGGGCTCTGAGGGAAGCCGTGGAGAAATTGGTGGCACGATGCTCACTAAAGATCCCCATCTTTTTTTATTGCAGTTTTTTTTGTTTGTTTGTTTGTTTTTGATGTGGAAGTGCCCCAGTACACACCGAATGGTCAGACTTTTCCAAAGCAATTATTTTTTTTCCCCTTCTTTTAAGCCCATTCCGAAAAGAAGTTTAAACCCTGTATGCCTTCTCTCACCTCTCTATTTCTCACTTTCTCATTAACCAATGCTTTGTAGGGCTACAAGAAGTTTTTGTCATGACAAAAATGGGGCCTGGGCTTTGGCTGACCTGGACTGCTCTCCTTTCCCTCCCTAATTTTTGGGCTTTCCTCTTCCCCCTTTCAGTTGAAGCAACAAACTAGAAAATCGCTTCCTTGCCCAGCTCTAACTTTCACAATTGTTGAAATACAATAAAGTGGAAAAGATGCTTTACGACACCAATGCGTTTCTTTCGTTACCTATTAGCAGAGCTGGATGGGAGTTTGGCCAGAAAATTCCTTTGGCTTCTCTATGAGCAGGTGCCAGGCGTATTTGTGCCCCTGAAGATGATTTATTTCAATCAAGGATTATTAACTAAAAAAAAAAAAAAAAAGAGAGAGAGAGAGAGAGAAAAAAAAAAAAAAAAAAAAGAGAAAAAAAGAAAAGAGAGAGAGAAAAAAAAAAGAGGAAAGGGGCACATTCCAGGGGTAAACTGGGGTGGTTCCAGGCCAAGTGAAGGATTTATGTCAGCTGACAATGGGGCTGTTGTAGAGATTTTCAGTGTATAAAAGGCAAAAGCCTGCTTTGTGCCTGCTGAAGGAGCCCATACACCGTTAATGCGACAATCAAGCAGACAGCAGGTGGGAAGTAACTTTTTAATAAGAACTTGGCTGCTTTCCTGCCCAAAATAATGACAGGCGGAGACTGAGGTTTGTGGCTGGAAAATCACTTCTCTGATGTATCTGTTGCATAAGGGGTGTGTGTGGGGAGTAAAGCTGTGAGACGGGATGCTAGCCTTTTTCTTGTTTTGCTACCAATAAAGGCCATATTTATTACAAGAAAATTGAAATCCTATTGATTTTTCTTCTGAGACGACGTGTTCCAAGTCTGACATTTAAACGTGAAACTCAGAGCTCCCAAGTTTAATCATTTACTCCTTGAGAAATACAGTGTATGGAGCTGCTGAATGAAAGGGCACGCAAGGTAAAAATGATATTTCCTTACAAAAAAAAAAAAAAAAAAAGAAGAAAGGGAACAACCTCTCCCATCCATCGGTACTGAGTGCCAGCCCTTTCCATGAGACTTGTAGGAGCTCATACTGCATATTGTTGGAGAGGAAAGGATGTGTATATAGGTGTGGATTGCACACACACACAGAAGCACTGTGTGATAAACCCTAATTGAGGCAGGGATTAGGGCACGACTGATACGTGGCAGACACAGCAGTTGCCCAGCTCAGGCTGAAAAGTGATGCCAGGGTGGGGGGAAAAAGATTAGTTCCTGGTACTTGGGTGGGGAA